GCTGTGGCCAGATAGGATTCAAAGGTTTCTCCGACTTCTTCTTGATTTAGCTCATTATCAGAGAAAGAAATAAAGAAACGATCATAAACAATGACTTCTTCCAATAGCTTTTGAATATTTTCGAATTTCATTCAAATCCCCATGAGAAATGTGATGAAGTTTTGTCTGAAAATCGTCTCGATATGCTCGAAATGATTCACAACTTTCTGTTTTGTTAAATAACGGCCAAAAATTGACGTTGATCATTGTATGGATCCGCTTTTTGTCTTCTTTCTCGTCCATCTCGAACATCTACTCGATCTCCTTTTTGATCAACACGAAACGAATTCTTGATATTCAATTCACAAAATGTAATGGTAAAAATCGAGTCTTCTTTCTCAATTCGAATTCGATTAAGGTGTTTCGGCATGAGTCCCGAGTTAAAGATTTGATTTCAAAGAAATTAAGTTGTTTGAATAACTTTGTCTCCTTGAATATCCAAATAATCAATGATCAACAAGAGCAATTCATTAGCCAATATAAAGATGGGAAACATTTTTGAATGGAATGAGAACGGGTTGTGGAAATAATTGTTGGAAGGATTTGAATTCGAAATCGATTTGCTTTTTTTGTGAGTTTTTAACAGAGAGAGTCACCGAGCTGGTTTAGTTGAACCCAAAGCACCCAAATTGGGTATTATTTTCTTGTACCGATAGTTGCATGTTCCTTGAAATCCACAAATTTATAACTTTTTGTAGAGTTGAGCAAATTTGAAGATTTTTGTATCAAAATGTTCGTGAGAGTCTCTAGAATAAAAATTATCCCCTTTTTTTTGTTCTAGACCCTGATTGTCGAGTTACGAGCCCCAAATTGCAGGGTACCACAAAATTTCCCATACAAAATGACCAAAAAACCGCTAAAACTCAATTTAAAAAATTTCTGTCAAAGGGATTTGAAAAATTCCTTCAGATTCGGAATCAGCACAATTTTCCGCATCTAAAAAAGGTACTCCCGGAAAAATCCGATAGAAAACGCATTTTCGCGCCGATGTGCAGGTGTGCATACGAAAATCTCAAGGTCGTGAATATCAGTCGAAAACAGGGATTTTTCGGTTATTAGTGGAACGCCACATTGCAAAAAAAGCGAAGATGAGCACTTGAAAATATTGTTGAAGATTTCTTGATGTTCCAACTGTTCCAACTTTGAGATATGCGACTTGGCACAGAAAAGCCACCTTGAATTTCTAAGGGATACGTGTTTTTCCGTTTTACTCCATAGCATCCAGTTTTCGAGAAAAATGCTTTTGATGTTTGGGCACTTTTTGGAAAAAAGGCGCTGCCACGGTATGGGACCGAGTTACTTCTTCTCCGAGAAGTGATCGAATAGTGTGAACGGGTAGTGCGCTTCCCCCCCGCACACTCCCTTGTATCTGGCTCGAATCCCATCACTGTCAAAACCTTTTTGCTCTTTTCATAAAGCACTAAAACCAATTTTTAGCTGATTGAAAGTGTCTATAAACAGTAAGAAGTTAAATAGGGCTTCTGGAAATGGCAAAAGACCTTCAGAAGATCTTCAGAACCTCTTTGATAATGTATTATATTCAAAATTATGAACCTTATCAGGATCCTCAAGCTCTCAGCCATCCGTCGATCGATTTGGCTAAAAATTTGCGGGCAGAAACTAGAAGAAAAATGATAGATTCTCTCAAACTTAAGTTTTTGTAGAAATTTTTCAAAAGGAACTCCTTACACTTTGATTTTTATGGGTTTTTATTCAATGTTTTTCCATCAAAAATTGGTTAAAATGTAAGGAGTTCTTGAAAATTTTTCATCATTGAAAAAATCATAATTTCTCTCGAAAACCAGGATCTCTCGATCCTTTGGGAACGCCCCTTTGCAAAAAAGATGATGATGGTTCTTTCAAACTACAAGATTGTCAATTTTGCGATCATTTTCAAATACAATTTATTTCGATTGCTGATTTAACTAAACAATTATTAGAGAAACGTTTATAATGCGTTTCCTTTTGTCTATGTTGCTCTTGGTGGCGCTTTTAGCAGTTTCGAACGAGGCTACAAAGGTCAGATTTTCCCTGTAATATTCTCGACATGACTATTTCAGCGAGTCAATCGGCAGGTCGCTGCCTGCATGTTGCCTCGAGAGACTGGACCGTGCAGGTAGGCACTGGATTGAAACTAAATTCGGCGTGAAAATAATGAATTCATGCCTTGTTTCATTGTGTTTAGCCAAGTTTACTTAAGCAAACTGATCACAAGATAAATCAAAAGCTTTTGAAGCCAGAGAATGAATTTTCTAACTCTACTGCCAATTAAACAACTAATACAGTGCGTTTCAAATTCTTAAATGCACCCTCTAAAATAGCGGATTTTGCCTTTTGACCACCGCTACAACTATTAATCTTTTTCTATTAGAAAGAGCATGTCTTAAAACCTAAATAACACGAAAAAGAAGCATACTGTAAAAAGTAAAAATTTTCAAAATAGAAACTTTTTTGCTAAATCAACCGTTTCAAATTCTTAAACGCACCCGCCTTTGCTGTTGTTATTTGAAATTTTTCGTTTTGTTGTGCTTATTTTTTTATTAAATTTATAATTTTTGTTAATTTCCAGGTAAATGGCACACGGAAAGCTGCTCACGGATTATGAGAAAGGCCAGATTGATGCCCGTTTGAGGATTGGCGACTCAATAAGGAAAATCTCAAAAAATTTGGGCCGATCCGACTCTGTCGTGCGAAATTATATAAAGTCCGAGTTCGTTTCTACACCAATGAAGAAGCCAGGACCAAAACCAAAGCTTACACCGCGAGCTAGACGCCATATTGTGAACGACATCCACGGAAAAATGATCAATGAAGTGAAAACGCAACGGAAAATCGACTCTTCGAAGTCGACAATTTGGCGAGCCATCAAGGAAAAACGCACATATCGATCGACAATTATTGAACATCCAACCGATCGTGAAGCTTTTGCACAAGAAAGCGCGATTGGCCTTCGCCAAGACTCATATGAATCAGAATTGGTCTATGGTTGGAAAGCCGCTTATGTTTTATTATTTTTTTGCGTTTAGGTGATCTTTTCCGATGAGAAGAAATGGAATTTGGATGGCCCCGATGGCGTTGGCTACTATTGGAGGGATCTTAGACGTGATCCGATGGTGTTTGGAACTCGAAACTTTGGCGGTGGTTCTGTGATGGTTTGGGCCGCCTTTTGTGCTGATGGAACGGTCACTCTGAAGATGGTTTCGAATCGGATGACTAGATAGATATCTTGAACAATTGCTTGTTGCCATTTTTGCTCCTAAATCCAACCGTTCCCGATTTGTTTCAACACGACAACGCGTCAATTCATCGAGCCGGAGACACCCTGAACTGGCTGAGCAGCAACAACATTGCAACTTTGGACTGACCCGCTCAGTCTCTTGACCTCAATCCGATAGAAAATTTATGGGGAATACTTGTCCGAGCTGTCTACAAGAATCATCGTCCAGTTTCAAGACGTTTCTACACTTAAAGCAGCAATTTTTTCGGCCTGGAGCGATCTCGACGTTTCTGCTCTTCAAAACCTCATCAATTCAATGCCAGACCGCATTTTTCAAGTAATTAATCGTTCTGGTGCGTGTACAGATCATTAGTTTTGATTTTTTACCTTTGATTTTTAATTTGTGTGGATAAATAAAAATATTTTCATAGTGCGTTTAAGAATTTGAAACGGTTGATTTAGCAAAAAGTTTCTATTTTGAAAATTTTTACTTTTTACAGTATGCTTCTTTTTCGTGTTATTTAGGTTTTAAGACATGCTCTTTCTAATAGAAAAAGATTAATAGTTGTAGCGGTGGTCAAAATGCAAAATCCGCTATTTTAGAGGGTGCGTTTAAGAATTTGAAACGCACTGTATTAGGTTGAGTAAAAATTCTTGATAAACTCTGTTGTTTTTTTGTTTCATCAAAGAGCAAACCATAGCTTGTTATAAATTTTGAATGATAATTAGACGGCTCAGCTTTGGGCAAAGTTTCATCCCGATCTAATGGCTGAGCTTCAAGCAGGAGGCTTTTGTTTGCAATTCGCCGATTTGGACCATAAGCTTCTGGGAACCAAAATATTTTATTTAGATGTTGATAAGACATACTGGCAAAAAACTTTCTAAATTGGATTCTTTTCTGAAAAATTTCTAGAGAGTCTATTTTGCAAGTGACTTTTTTCGCTTTTATTCATAGCTCAGCTTTCATTCATCAAAACAGGACAAAAACTTGCTGCCTAATAGATAATCGAATGCTAACAATGTTTCGAAAGTTCCAGAAAAACAGTTTAGTTTAATCTTTAAGAAATCTACTAAAAAACTCTTGATATTTTAAAACAAGATCAATTCAACTAGATGATTGGCTCGTGAACATATTTGGGCTAGTTAATCTTTTAACATTTTTACATGTTTAGAGCCGCATTTCCTCGCTTCTACTTCGATCTGAAGAGTGGCGAATGCAAGCGATTTATCTACGGAGGTTGTAACGGAAATGATAACAACTTCACTGATGAGGCTGAGTGCAAAAAGGCTTGTGCCAAAAAATGAGTCGCTAAGTATTCTGAATAAATGTGCTTTTGCCAAAACGCAACAATCACTTCTAATGAGAACATACAAATTCTTAATTGGCATCAACTTTCAAAAGGGTTTAAGTTATTTGAAGGTTACTTGTTAGTTTCATGTATTTGCAATTTTATAATGATGATGATCGATGATCACTAATAATCACCCATCGATGATGATCACTAATGAGCCCGAGTTTTTCGAGAAACGAGAAAAAGATGATCTGGTGGATTCATGATGAAAAGCAACTTTTATTTAGGATTTAGTATTCTTTATTGTTTTATAACTGTCTGATTATTATTTTTGCATTACAAACTAGGCAATAAGTCAATAAATTATCACTTTTCCCCGATTCAATAAAAAACACACAGAATTTTATCATAAAAAACAATCGGCAACAAAATGTGCAAATTTTGCCATATTATAGCTCGGTGTAGGCGGGTGGTGGTGTTTCCTGAAACTTTTCATCATTGAATACTTTAACCTATGTTTGCTGATTTTAGCATTGATTGAATAGCTATGGAAGAACTTATTTATCTACTTTATAGTAATAGCATTTCGTTCTTATTTCAAAGCTTTCATTCATTAGCTATTACCTCAATCTTTCTCTCTGCATTCACTATTCTCGTCTCCCATCGCTCATCTTTTTCCATTTGAAGATCTCTGAAAAGGGCTTTTAGCCAAAATCTCTGGAAATCATAAGTTTTCTTTATTCATTTACCTAACGTATGTGTAAAATGAATAAGTCAGCTGAAACATCCAAATAAAGTAGACTGACAACACAACCATATTGATAATAAGATCTAAATTGCTTTTGAGATCTTCCCTGAAATGGCTAAATGGATAAAATTCGCTCACCATTAACTGTTATCTCTCTTCTCTCTTCGATTTTACTCTCTTTCGAGTAAAGGATCAATAAGATATTTAGAATAAAGTCGGGCAATTTGTTCCTAAAAATTTGTTTTCTGTTTTACGGTATGAAAAAACAGTTATCTATGATTTAGATCTATTAGGTTGTTTGGATATAAACGAGCGTTTGCACTGGAAACCATTTCCCGTATCTGATCGCCTTTTCAATGGCGTGGAGATGCTCATCAATGGTAGAGTTTGAACATAGAAAATGTTGAGCAAGTTTACGTGTCGTTTAACATGGATCCGCTTCGATTGCAGCCCTCAAAATATCATTGTCTCCCGCTTGAGGTCGACGAGTCTGTTCATCATCCTCGAAACTTTCATCACCATCCCGAAAGCGTTGGAACAAGGCTCGGCATTCGACAGTATTTCGAACAACACCTCATTCCCAAATGCTTTGACCAAATCTCGATGAGATTCCGCGACTGTTTTTGCCCAGTTTAAAGTCGTAAAGTAGGCAGACTTGATATTTGAAGTCGGTTATTTAAAGCAAGAAAAAAGATGTTAAAAAATAAGAAATTATCCGTTTAAAAAGATTCCAAATATTCACAAGATAACGTACTTTTAAATACAGAAAGACATGTTTTAAAAAGCTTCCCTCACAACAATAAATTTAGTAACGCTTGTTTACATCCGAACAACCGAATAGATATCTTTAAGCAAATCTCACGGTGAAGTGAAGAGCATGAATAACACGAAAAGGTTAAAACTGGCGAGGAGAGTGCCCCAAAATACCTGAGATTTCATGTTTTTAAAAGGAATTAACCATCAGATTATCAGATTTTTGTTTATTATATTCTTTTTCACTCACCAAATGAATCCAGTAAATTTGCGCGAAGAACGGCTTGAGAGTGTGTGCGGCAAGGAATCTCAAGATTAGCTCCATAAAGAAAACGATCAGCAAAAAAGTTTTAACCTGAAAAAAGCTGATATAACAGTTAACTTATTTTAGCAAAATTAGAATATTTATAAGCTTTTTCAGTTTGTTTTCTGTAAAACTCACCCCTAGAGTGAAATAATCACTTTGGTTCCGATCTAATGCATCGCGAAAGCTTGCCACAAATTGCACATAGGACACCAATTGATAAATACAAGCGAAAGTCAGTAAGATGTTTAACAAACGGAAGCCAAACTGAAAGTGAAGAAGGGATTTTCGATCTGTGCTTGATTAAAAGTGAATCTGGATTGTTTAGAATTAGGTTTGTACACATGTATTTGGTTGGCAAGAAAGTTCGTCGAAAAAGTTTGAACGGTGATTTCTCGAAAATCAAACCAGCAATTCTTTCCAGATTTTTTGATAAACTTGACTATATTTCAAAAGGTTTTTGACAAAAAAACCAGAATGATCAGTGGGCTTCAGGTAAAAATAAGAGATTTCTTCAGCTGAAGTGACTTGGTCACTTTTTGAGTGATTAGCCTTTAGACAAGTTTTTGCTTAAAATAGGGAAAATTTGTGATTAAGGCTAATTTAATCTAATCCTTTAACTTTTCAGAATCACCTATTTTAGCAGTATCAAGAAGATGACACCTAAAAAATTATTTTTTGAAATACAGCTGCTTCGTAAAACATTTTTGGCCAAAAATAGAGTTTAGAGAGCGTATTGCTTATTTATGCTAGCTTTATCTCATAAGAAATCGTTTTTTTTTTTGAATGCAAAAAAGTGAGCTGAATTTAAGCTCGAAAATAATCATTTTTCAAAAATCTCTAATTTTATAGGAAAGCTGCACTCATTTTCTTTACGGGTAATTTCTTGGAGTCCACTTGCAAATAATAGAACAAAATGTTCCTGAATTGGTGGATTCGTTTTTAAGCAATTCCAGTCAAACATTTTCTACGAACTTTCTTGCCAACCTAATATAACAAGGGAATGGTCTCAGCTCGAAGTTGAGAATCGATTCGAGCCAGAGGATAGCCATTTCTCTAGTTGCTGAATCAGGAATGCTTAAAACGTAAATTTTTCAAGCTTAACCGGTGCCCGTATGCTCCATTTCCCGCTGGAGTAAACGGGCTAAGGCTAAGCCTACAATGAGAACTTGGACAAGCCAGGCCTGGGCTGGTAGCTGGCTAGTTCAGTGCCAGGCCAAGTCCAGTTCAGGTTTTGACCTAGCACTGAACAAGTTTACTTTGGTATTTGTAAACTTGAACATTTACTATTTTAATACTTTAATTCATTACCAAAGAAGTCATGCATCCACAACAACATCGATAATCTCGAGAATAAACTGGTGTTGGAGCTTTCCCCTTTGGATGCCATCCGGGCAGCCACATTCGAGAAAATTTCATTGCTTCAAACTGCTGTAAAGTTCTGAAATCAAATAAAGAAATGATCCTAAAGATTTTAGAAAAGCTTACTATTAGTAATCAATCTCAAATGTCACAGGATAATCAAAGAAATATGACTCATAAATTGTGCACAGAAATAATGAAAGTTTAACAAAATGCATCAGTGTTTTCAATTTTTGAAATCAATACTTGTGCAAGAAAATGCCGATTTGAGAAAGAAAAGGCGATTGGATGGGAAAAGATAGCTTCAAGATTGATGCAACAAGTCGACAAATGAGTTTGACCGGTGATTCAAACAAATCGTAAATGATACAAACATTCGAATTGCTTTTCTTAAAAGTTTCGACCATTTTTTTGACTATTTTTCCCAAATCTCAAGCCGTATCAGTTGATTTTTCTTCTTTTTCAAGTGAAAGAGCCAAATTAATGACTCATCTTTCCACTAATCAACCTTTTTCTTTTGAAACAAAAGCTTTGAAATGAACAGAGAAAAGGTTGCAAAAAGTTGTTGTTTAACTTTAGCTTTAATAGTTTTAATAGTCAACTATAATAAATATAAACTGAGACTTGTTTCCTGGGACTATAAACAGATGGACTAAATGAAAAAACATTACTATTTTACCGATTTTGTAAAGAAAGAAAGAAAGAAAGAAAGAAAGAAAGGAAGTTCTTGTAAAGTTTGTTACAAGGCTTTTGAGTGCTCAATTCGAGTCTGGCTTCAGTGTTTTACCACAGTAAATTTGAAAATTGAAATCAAAAGTGGACAGAAGAACAAATTAGCTCAATTCAATTAGCAATAAAAGCAACGCTGTGTGCTTTTCCTGAAGAACTCAAAACAAAGATAAAATTTTCAAGGATAACAAACTTTTCGCAAGCATTTTAACAACAAAAAAAATTAGTAAAAAGTTTTTTCCGTTAATAAATAAGTGCTCATCTTTTCTGCTTTTTTCGAATGAAATTCGCTTTTTCTTGCTTCACAAATTTCACTCCGAGTTCAAAGAACGATCAAAGTGGGCTAATCATTTATCAAAAGGGCTTTGACTTGTACTAAATGTTAAAGAAAAAGACAGTAAAACTGAGTATTAAAGAGATCACAAGTATTACAGACTTTGTATCACAAAAGCTTTCAATTTGTTAGAAGATCTATGGTGAATATGGTGGCGGGGCCATCTCGTCCTCTTGCTTCTGAAAAAGGTCTCAATTTGTTTTGGAAATCTTTCTGAAATTCCAAGTTTTGTAATGAATAACGTTTTTGTTTTGAGTTTTCAAAGTTAAGTTGTCATTAAAATCTAACCACAAGTTGTCGTTTCGTTTCAACTTGTTGTTGCTGAGTTTCCCATCGTTCTTCGATCTCGAGTTGACGATCTCTGGAATCAAGTTAGGCATGAAAACTGCATAGATTCCCGGATATTATACTGGAATGCCTAAAACGAGCCCACTTACTGACTGTTCTTTTTGTCCAATCAAAGGGAAAATTTTCTTTATTCAATAGAAGCAAGTCAAACAAGTAAGTCACTGGATACCTTATGTAGCAATAGAAAGAGTAGGTGAGTTGAGTCTGCCAGATCACATAGACGATGTACAGAACACCGAATACGAAATGCCCTGAAATTCAGCTTCATTACAGTAACAGTTTCCTAAAGTTCCCACATTATCCCTTACTTTTCTCTTCCCTGAACTGCTTCACGTACTCTTGATGATTGTCGCTGAAACCGTAATCGTTCACGTTTCTGAAATTTGATAAGCTTTAGAATATGTTAATTTAAACTTTGAATATTATGGCTATCTTACAATAGCCTTAGAATTACAGTCGAACTTCGATATAATGTATACTTCAATCTAATGAACCCTAAATTCGGTCCCGGCCAAACACTTAATAAAATGTCAAGAAACAACCTTTGATAAAACGAACTTCGATACAATGAACACTTTTTGGATAGGTTACCGTATATTTCATTTCCATAACGAATTATTTGCTAAAATATGGGCAAAGCAAAATGGATTTCTGCTTTTTGACTGGATTTCTAATTTTTTTTTACTTAATTTGAAATGCTTTACAATTAGCTTGCTTAGTTCTTGTAACGTTTTTTATCTTAAGTTTACCTTAAGGTTTCTTTTTTATTTTTTTATTTTTGAGAACATTCTCATATTTTAGGTGATGGAGCGAGGAAAGGCAACGCGTCGATCAATCGATTTGGCTTTAAAGAAGCGAATACTCGTTCAATCGACCTTGAAAAGAACGCCTGAATTGGCGAAGGACTTCGAATTGCCGCAATCAACAAGAAATTCTTTCAAGAATTCTTAGGAAAAGGTCGATCACGGATTATGGAAGCAAACAATGAAGGAGTAGCCGCTAAAAGAATACGATTGAAAGATTGAAGACAAGCAAATACGCATCAATCGAAGAGTCTGTGTCTATTTGGCTGAAGAAAATGCAAATGGTGAAGCAAATGCAAAGCCAAAACGAATGTGTTGACGGTGATCTGCTTCGAGAGAAAGCGATGGAGTTGGTAAACTTGGAAGGAATTAGCGATTTTCAAGCGAGTGGCGGTTGGCTGGATAAATTCAAGAAGTGTCACAGAGTTGCTTTGTTTGTTGCTGTTGTTGTTTTGTGCTCCAATTTGTTGTTGCTAACTTGTTTTCAAAGAAATTTGTTATAAAAACTCCTATATCGCGAATTGGTCAAAGAACCAATAGTTATTTGTTTCTATACAACGAGTTTTGATATAACAAACTCTTCGGCCGGTCCTTTGCAGTTCATTGTATCGAAATTCGACTGTTGTATTAATTTTAGTTTTCTTACGTTGCAGTGAACATCAAAACCGATCCCAAAGCACTCGCGCCACCCAAAAATGTCACCAAGAAAGCCTAAAGATTTTCAATTTGCAGATTTTGGGAAAAGAGTTCTAAACAGCTACAAAATAATTCTAAACTTACAAAATAAATCCAATAAATTTGGGCATAGAATGGCCGGAGAGTGTGTGCGGCAAGAAATCTCACGAAAATTTCGAAAAGCTTCACGACTAAGAAGAGTGACTGAAAAGGTTTCCTTAAATCAAGCTTTTCATTTCTTCAAATTTGATTCTTTTTGCAACACCTTGCTTATTGTTGATCTAGGATTTCAAATCAAAACGTACCGTTAATCCAAACGATGCCTGTCCAAAGGTGACGATGAAGTTGAGCAATGCGAAACCCCAAGCAGCCACAAGGACAAAGTTGAGAATGCGGAAACCAAGCTGAAATTAGATTTAAACAAATTGATTGTCAGCTAGAAATTTATGAGAACAAGAACTTTTAACAAAAAAGCCTTTTAACAACAAAAATTATTAAAAAGTCTTTTCCGTTAATAAATAAGTGCTCATCTTTTCTGTTTTTTTGAATGAAATCCTTTTTTTCACTCAAAGTCACCCAAAGATCAGATTCTAGAATGTTTCTCAATCAATTAGCCAATTGTAAGAATATTTGCTATCTATTATCTATTATCTATTATCTTGCTTGCTTTGTGGCACTCACCAATGAATTCATGCACCCACAACAGCATCGATAATCTTTCACTTCGACACTCAATGGTGCTCGGACTCGAGGATGCCACAACCACAACCACATCTTCATTTTGAAACAAAGAAAAGAGAATTTGAATGAAATTGAGTGCTAAAATACTGTTAGAATAAGAGATTTAAAGACTGAAACATTTGTAAGCATTTGATCAGAAAATTTACAAATTTGAACAAGTTACAGCTAAAATAAATTGATTTTATTCGTAGGAAAAATCAATAGAGTTTTTTTTTGATCAATAGAGAATCAATAGATCAATGGAGATCAATAGAGTGTTATAAAGAATGATATTAAAATTAAAACTTGGCTTGCTTTACCTAAAAAATGTTTGCTATCCTTAAAATCCTCTTATCAAATTGAGTTTTCATTGTTTCTTTTTTCTTTTCCCGGAATCGAGCGCTTTTTTTTAGTTGATTCAGCTCATCAAACATGTTTTTTTGTTAGTTTTTTTTGTCAATGAATAGAAATCGACCAAGTTTAGAATTTCAAAAAAGAAAAAAATAAAATATATAAACTTTTTGCCTAAAAAAAATCAGAAATGAAATTGCGAACCGTTTTCTATTTTGATTCGATTGATTTTTGATGGAAAGGATGAGAAAAGAAATGAAAAAAGAAAAAAAAGGCAAAAATAAACGCTGAGTAATGGACAATGTTGAGTATTTTGTGTTCTGTTGAGGGTGTTTACTCTTCTAACCACATTTTCTATCTTGAAACATTTATAAAATTTATTTAAAGTTTAAATGACTGTTAAAATTGTAAAAATTGAAAGGATAAACGGGAAAATTTACCTCTCAAACTCCGTTCCGTGTATTGAAATTCATATTTAGTAAAATGTAGTAAATTTATCAACAATTCATACTTAAGTTTGACTCATTTAAACTAGGCGCTAGTCCATTTACTTTCGAATTCGAAATCGGACAGAGACGGAAATCGAGGACCTCTTGGGGCCGCTCGCATCGACGGGATTTCAAGGACATCGAGGAATTGATGATCAAGAAAATGATGAATTCATTGAGTGATGACTGACTATTGATTTCGCTTGTTAGTTGTTTTTGTTTCGTTTTGCTGTTAAATTTTCAAATGGCTGAAACCAATAAAAACTAAAGAAAAAGTTTGCTTTTAAACCGATTATTTGGATGTATCCTGATTTGGTAACTCGAATAGTGGTGTAAAATAGTAACCCACCCTCTAATAGTGCCCCACCCTAGAGGGGGAGGGAAAAAATAGTACTCCATGGGGTCCAATTACAGTATTTACGGTAGTATTATATTTGACTAGCAAAATGCCAGCAGTTAACCCCCTGCTAACCACTGCTGATCCATTTACTTTCGAATTCAATTTGCCAAACGATGAATCATTTGTACTTTCAAATTAGACACAAGATACAAACAGAAATATTCTCAGAGAAACCTATCCCAAAGCCTAAAACAAAAACAAAAATCTCTACTATATATAAAAAAATAATCTCTGTCCGTCTGTGTGAGCACTACGGGCGTCCCTTTTGAGTATTTTAAAAAACGCTGACTAATGAAATTTCATGTAGTTTTGCCTTTTAAAAAATTCTTGCAAAAAGTCAAAGCAGGTGGGTGCAATTTGCATTTTACGCTGAAATTTGCATGGTGGGGTTTTCCCACACAGGGAATTCATTTCTGGCAATCATTTTTACAATTTCTGTAATCTAGTGATATCAAAAGCTAAGCATGTCTGTTCTTCCTGTCAACAGACAGACAACTTCTTGAAAATATGCATTTAATTTCATTTAGCCTGTACAGAAGCAATTACAATTCTGAGTTCCAGGTACTTATTGATTAGTTATGAAAAATTTTTATCGAAACCTTTGGTCTAGCTGAGATTTATGGCTGAATGATGAGGTTCTGAATCGGCATTTCGCATTTCGGGTTGGTGCGAGGAGACGGCAAGGGAAAATGCTCGTTTGGAATGAGTGCCGATGATCGGCCATTGATCATCGATGATCGAAACGTCATTCGAATGAACCAAAAGCCGAGAGAATGGCTTCAATTGGTCTACAACTATTTTGTCTCAAGTGTCTCACCATTTAAAGTTTACAATTGCACGTTTAACGAGGACAGTGGATTACTCAAAAAAATTTGATAGTGCTTTGTAAGATTTTTGGTAGCTATTGTGCACCCGACAAGTAAAATATTGTGTGAGAATTTGGGATGTTTTAAAAGTTTCTGGTTCACTTATACTTTCCCAAATAAAGATCAGATCACAGACCACATAGCTATTAAGCAAGGTGGAATCGCCTTTCTGTAGCGTTTACATTTCCTACTCAAAAATGCCAGCCGCTAGACAAATGTTTTCCCTTCCCCATAGCGATACGGATCTCGAATTTCCCTTAAGATTGATTCGATCGTTTCGTCTTTGGCATTCAAGTGAAAGTTTTTCTTTCACAATGCTATTTTTCCTTATTTTCTTGATTTCCTATGTTGATTCTCAAAATTTTGTTGGTTATCCAAGGGTGAATAAGGTGCCAGGTAAATACTTTTCCAAGTTTTCTGAAAACTTTTCTAGAAGTTGTTCTAATTGAGAGGATCTCGCCTCGAGCCGCTTGGGAACAGCCGAATTCGGTTAAGGATTTTGAATGAAATTCAGAGGACCATTTTAGAATGTCAACAAAATGGGCTTAGCTTATTGTCAAATCCCGAAAAACGCGGCGACGATCATGAAGATTCTCCTGTGTGATCTTTATCGATATTTTAAGAGAATTCCCTTTAAAATTCAAGTCGGCAAGGATAAAAGTCTGAGGTGAGAAGTCAATTCAATATATATTTCTTCTTTTAACCATTTGTCATAGAGAAATCATAGAGAAAAGAGAAAATAGAAAGATTCATAGAAAAAAACCATGTGGATCTAATAATAGATGTACTTTAGCATACTTTTGACTAGTATTAGCTAGTATTGGCTACACAAAAAGTTTAGCGAATGCGAGCTGAGTCAATGGTACAAGAACTTGATCAACACGACTGATACGACCGAGGCTTGGTCACCAAATGTGAATGAGACAAAAATGGCGATTGGTCGGCATCCGGTTAAACGATTTCTCTCACTTTATGGATATCTATGCGAGTGGGTTGCACTTTTTGCTATTTACGACTAGGAGGTAGCTAAAAAGATTCTGCATTTTCTCACTCCAACGTTTTAACTTGTTTCTTTTCCGAAGCCTGATTCACAAATGTTCTATAGACAAGCCCGTTTGTGTGGAACACCAACAAGTATCACCAAATTCACAAAAGATGTCTACACTTTGTTGAAAACAAATTCGACTGTTGGCACGGGCTTTTCCGAGAAAGATCGCGAGATTGTCATCTATCATTCTCAGCCACAAACTTGGTAATGTTAAGTTGAGTTGCAAGTCTAGGTCAGTTTCTGGTTGCTGCTGTTGTTGCTAATGCAAGCAATTGATTGCTTTCCATCCTTATTGTTAAACTTATAGCTTTGCAAGTAAGCTACTATGTCTCTGGAATCTCAGTTACCCAAGCTTAAAAACTCTTCTTAAAATTTCACAATTTTTTCGGTTCTGCAACATTTTGGCTGAAGTCAAAAACTTTCACTTCATCCATCATGGCTCTGATCGAATGGCGATGAAAAACGAGCTAGAAACCGTTTTTGATATGGCGAGAGTTCCGAGAAATTGCTCAGAGCCGGTAGAAAAGTTCAGGGTTTAAATTATTCTATGATTCAGGTATTGAATCATATTCTTTATTCGGATACCGTCCACGCGAATCAGGACAAACGACACACGAAGGCAGTGGCTTGGCTATTAGAGAACAACCCGCAAACGATGGCTTATTTCAATGCCATCTATTATGATGATTTTGCTTTGCTTGGTTACCAAAAATAAACAAAATTCGTTTATTATTTAGTTTTAGACATTTTATAAACATTATTGTTTCAGATCGATTTTTTAGAAGAATTTTAAGGATGGGTTTCTGATGGATTTTTATTTCAATTTTTTTGAATAAAGAGTAAGTCACAGGCAGCTATTAGCCAGTTTACATTTAAATTCCCTGCATTCTCTTTTAAAATTAAAGTTTAAAAGGGTACTAACTTTTCCTAGTATTATATTTGACTAGCAAAATGCCAGCCGCTAGACAAATGCTGCCAAATCGGCCAGCAGTTAACCTCCGTCTAAACTGCTGATCCATTGACTTTTGGATTCAATTTGCCAAACGATGAATCATTTGTACTTTCAAATTAGACAAAAGATACAAATTAAAGTTTATTTCATTCCAAAGCCTAAAACAAAAAAAAAAGATGTTAAAAACTAAGCATGTCTTTTCTTTGCTTGTCCTTTATCATAAGCTAATCCAGATGGTGGTTGGGGAAAGGTTTGAGAAATATCCGGAATATTCGTTGATTCTTGATTTGAATTGTATTGCGATGTCTCAATTTGTGGCTGTGGTTCGGGTCCATAGCCAGATGGAGCTGGAGCTGGAGCTGGGCGGACAACTTCCTAAAAATACGCATTTAATTTCATTTCGTCTGTACAAAAACAATAACAGTTCTCAGTTCCAGGTACTTATTTATTAGTTATAATAAATTTTTCTACAAACCTTTGGTCTAGCTGAGATGTAAGGAGGCCAAAACACGATTTTCTTTCCGGGATAAGAATATTCAGCGGTGGTACGGAAAACGGGCTGAAGAGGAACCGGACGACCACCAAATCCTGAAAGGAAAAGGAAAATAATAAAATTTGTTGGGTTTTAGTATTTACTTGATATCAGTTAGATTTGATTTAAACCATGCGGTAATTTAAATTTTAAATCTTATCAATTTATTATAGTTTAGGATAGGGTTTCAATAGGATTTGTTTCTGTATTGTGAATGATTGCTTGGATTGGTTGAATAAACCATTATATACTTGAATACTTTTTGCTGTAAACCTCCTACTTTTTGCCATTTGCATCATGCCAAGCATCTGCATTTGTTGATAGTAGCTCATTCCTGAAAAAATATTCGAAACTAAACTTGCAATAAGTCAATGAGAGTACAAATCATGATTTAGTAACAAACCTTGTGCCTGCATCAAATGCATCATAGCCATCGTTTGCATTTGTTGCTGTTGATTACCTAAAAAGATCATCATCGACTTTTAGTTTCAATTCAAAATCAAATTTCCAAAATACTCTGGGTATCGTATTTTGAAAATTTACCCGATCCAAGAGAATTTAATCCACCAAAACCGAGCGCTTGCATCATTAATTGTTGAGTGAAAAGATTTGTGGGAATCGCTGGTTGTTGTTCGGGGACAACCACGACTACTTGGGGAGCCGGACAATCTGAAATTCAGTGAACAAAGTGACTTCAATTGCATGCTTTACCTGGGCATTTCTGCACAATTTGTACAGGTGTTGGTGGTGGAGGTTGAGGAGCTGGTGGGGCCTAGATTTCATTTACGAGGGAATGGTACTAGGTCACCCTTTTACAAATGAGACCTAGCCTATCCGATGCAGTTTTTTTACGCTGGTTTCGAATCCGGTTTTAATTTTCGTATTGGAAATGGAAAAGATGTGACAAAAACTCTGTCTAAAATCAAAAATTGTTTTGAAAAAATAAAAGTAAAAAGTTTTGTCATTTAAATGATTCGAACTCACGGTAAAAGATCTTTGATAAAACAGTACTACTATCCATTATACCAAGATCACTTTTGAAAGACTCCCACAAGATGGCCTTAAATGGGCTTGGCTAAAACTTGTTTGTTTTTTGTTGTTTTTGTATTCTTGTTTTTTATTCGGATGTGTTCTGCAAAAACGAAAACCGGATTCGAAGCTAACATAAAAAACTGCATCGGATAGGCTAGTTCTGATTCGGAAAGGGGAAACCTAATATCATTCCCTCTTTAGGAAAAATCTGCAATACGCTGATTTATATTTGAAACAAAAGTCAATGATGTTTTAAAACTAGCTGCTTTTTTAACTTACTGGTGCTCCATAGGGATCATCAGCGGGTGGAGGTGGCGGAGGTGGTCGTGGAGGTGGAGGACGAGGTTGAGGCTAATAATAGAGTTAATGAAGAGTTTCAGCATTGAGATTTGTAGTCACTAGGTTGTAAGGGCAATTGGCTACAGTAAAACTAATTCTAAAGTCGATATTGTGCACTATAAAAATTGTAAAAACATTTGTAATGAGAACAAAATTTATACATGAGCAAAAACTGTGTCTATTGAAGATCTTGGATCGATTAGACAATAGTAAGAGGCGATATCGGGTCAAAAGTTCATGATAAAATGTAGACAAAGATCTTCAAGTTTTCACATAAACTTTCACAAACCCTTGGAGCCACTTGATAATCGTATTGAGCCAAACAAATCGGGGCCAAAACGGCCAAAAGTGCCCATCTCAACACCATTTTTCGAACAAGAGATCTTTATGAGAATCTCACAATATAAGTGAAACTCTCCAAGGAAATTCCCCGCGCTTTTCCCCATCGTCATCACAATTTCTTTTTTCTTCTTTTCTCTAATCACATCAATGTGAAAAACCCGACTTTTTCCGTCTCTTTCACCTTTTTTTTGTCAAAGGAACGCAAGTCGAAAACCATCAAAAATTTCCCATCACTAACACTTTTCAGTTTTTTTCTTTGCCATTAGCTCGTGGTTTTTCAGAGTGACATTGAGTACAACTGACTTTTTCAGAAAGCGAGTAAAAATAAGATTGATATTGGTGACGGGGATGACCTTTTAGAGGTGGTTCGGTTCATAAATCGTTCTCACTTTGACCCCTTTCTGTTCTAGATTCTAAATTGAAAAGCAAAAAAGGAAAGATATTTGAAGATAAAAGCTTTCTCCAAAGAATTCTTTTGATGCTTGCCAAGGAGACCTTTTGAAATGGCTCGAAATTTAGACACCCAGGATTGTAAAAGCTGTCATTTTTACAATCCTGCTTTTCTGAAATATTGTTGCAAAATAAAATGATGGAAAATGAAGGACAAAGACGTTTGTAGTTTCGCTTGATAGTTTCAAAACTCAAACTGATTCACTCAAATTTCGACATTTTACTCTATTCCCTCAAAAATTCCCGCAAAAATGTTTAAACCAAAAACTATGTTGATGATTTTTAGAATAATGTTTCGGTGAAAATATCAGAAACAGGTGAAAATCAGTGACTTTTGTTGAGTTCTGCCGAAGATGTTCACCGCTACATCTTGCTGTTTTTTTCTATGAAAGCATCGTTAACAATTTCTTCGACATTGACAATTTTCCCAGAATCTCCTATTCACATTTCCTGAAAAGTTTAAGAATTTCGATCACCCGGTGCTAGCTTCTAGAAAATCTTTGGTACATCTCTTTGCATTCCTCAATTTCAGCCTCTCTGACTGACCCCTTCTGATTCATATAAGAATTGTAAAAACCATTAGGCGATGTTTCCGTTTTCTTTTGCAAAATAAAATGATATGGAGAAATGAGGGAAAAGAAGAAGTCTGTTTGAACCCTTTTGATTCAGATAAGGATCCGAAAAGCTGACCCAATAAAAGGACTGAATCAGGAAGAGATGCAACCACTTTCAACAATATAGCAGACAGCTATATTTCGAAAGATTTTCGCGCATTACTCGAGCACGTGATGAAGTCCACCAACCGTTTTGAGATTCTGGCTTATCTGACTGACGATAACAAGCTTAAAGTGAGTTACAAGATTGGTTTTTTTTAACTTACAAGCTTTTTCAAAGATATAACCTAGACAAAAAACGGGATTTATGAGTAGAAAAGTTGATAGGATTTTTGAATGACAACTAAGTCATTCCAAGTTCAGCTATTCAGTAATCTAATAACTTTTTAAAGATATAACTCAAGACGTTTCAAAATTCAAATCCATAACTCTTTTAGAAATATAAACGGAATGAATATAAACTTATAATCACATAATATATTGTAAAAAGACAAAACTATAAATCATAAAGCTATTTAGTGTCCCACTTTGGCGAATTGCTTGGAGATATTTCGAAATAAACTTGCAGATCATCTCGTAGATTATGTAGATGTTCAAGGTTTGCAAATTGTTGTTTCTGCACCTTTTTAACGTTTAGGAGTCGAGATAGTCGGCCATAAACTACTGATCTACATCCAGTCATCAAATAAAGAGCTACAACTTGCGATCAATAAGTGGGAATTGGGAAACGCATGGTTTAAGCTTTACGGGGTATGTAAATATGGCTATTTTGGAAGTTTTTATAGGATTTATTGCATATATATGTTTTGTAAAGTCATTATTTCTACTAGGTTGGTGCAAATGAAATTTCGTTTTTTTACAAACATTAAAGTCATCCAAAAATTTTTTTGATAACAATTTATTTAAAACAATAAGCACCATTATTATCTATGACATCCCTCCAACGTTGCTACAGATTGCGGATCCCCTTCTCAAAGAACGCTTGATTCTGTGATGCAAAGTAGTTGGTCACCCAATTTTCGACTTCTTTTGCATTCTTAAACTGGCAATTCTCAAGGGAATGTTGCATCGATCTGAAAAGGTGAAAATCGGAGGGTGCTAAGTCTGGACTATACGGCGCATGTGGTAAGACCTTCCATCCTAGCTTCTCTAGTTCCTTACAAGAGGTTTTTGCCGTGTGAGCTGGAGCATTATCACGGAGAAAGTTGATAGTTGAGGGATTTAGGCCTTTTTCACGCAAAATTTCGTCAACCTTCTTGAGTTGTTGAATAAAATAAGATGAATCGACTGTTTTTCCGGGCTCTAATAATTCAAAATGAACAAGTCCATTGATATTCCACCAGCAAGACAACATCACTTTGCGCCCATGATAATCCGGCTTTGGAGTTGGAATTGGCACTTGACCTTTGCTCAGCCATTGTCTTTTTCGAGAAGTATTATCAAAGTGAATCCACTTCTCATCCATCGTCAAGATATTCTCAAAAAAAATGGCTTCTTTTCGACTTCTGGAGCAAGATATGGCTGATCGGAACGCGTGCTCCCAGATTCTCAACACTCAATTGATGTGGAACCCATTGTCCATTACGATTTGTCTTTCCAATTATTTCCAAATGGCGTACAATTGTTGAATGATCACATTGGAGATGTTTGGCAAGTTCTCGTGTTGTTTGCATTGGATCAGCTTCAATTAATTGTTCCAACTCATTGTTGTCGATGGCTGTGGCACGATGTCCATGCGATTCGTCTTCAAGGGATTCATTACCATCTCGGAATTGGGCAAACCAGAGCTGGCATGATCTTTCGGTGATAACTGTTCTCTAAAGGCGGAACCGAGATCACGATGTGAATCAGCAGCGTTTTTGCCCATTTTGAAGTCATAGAGAAGACACGTGCGCAGAACATAATTTTGATCCACCATGATCTAAAGCAAAAATCAATTAAAAAGTGAAAGCTCTGACTTTGAAAAAATGCGAAAATAAAGTAAATATCCAAGAGTACAAATGCACAAAAGAACATCAAATAAGCTCTTCAGATTAAAAAAATAAGAACATTTTATATCGACCGAAATTTCTTTTGCACCAACCTAATAGTTTCCAATGTCAAACGGTCAGCCCTTTTTTGTTCTGAGCATCAACTTTCACGGAAGTATGGAATATTTGAAAAGATGTCAGACAGTGAGTTTTTCTAGAAGACAGTTTTTTCAAAGTAAAGCCAAATCTATTAGGTTGGCAACTTTCAAACTTCCGTTTTAACTAACAACTTGTTTATTAAACAAAACGCAAAATAGAAAACTTTAACCCAAAAGATCTTCGCCATTTTTATCGATGCTTTCTTCCCATCTGCGGCGCAAGTCCCGGATCCCATTCTCGAAAAACTGAGGAGTTTTGGAGGTGGAGTATGTGTTGAGTGCTTCTATGACCTGAGCGTGATCATTGAACCTTCCCCCCTCCAAAAAGCCTTTCAAAGACCGAAACAAAAATAATCTGATGGTGCTAGATCAGGCAAGTAAGGTGCGTGGGGCAACAAATCCCAGCTAAGCTCTTCAATTTTTTTTGTGAGTGGCTTTTGACATGTGTGGTTTCCGTTATCGTGGAGGAATCGGACCCTTGAAGGTTTGAACCCCAATTTCTTCAAAGCCTCGTTAACTCGAAACCATGTATAGCATTGTCTATCGCTAATATTTTCTTCTCCAAAAACAGAAATAATTGTACGATGCGATTCAGCCGCAGATTTTCCTTGTTGAAAATCGTAAAGCAATGCAGCCTGAATCAAAATTTTTTGGTCTTCCTTTAAGTATCGTAAAAAGAAGGTGAAATTTCGAAAAGAAGAGATTGTTTACGTAAAAATATTGATTTGTTTTTATGCAAAAAGCGGGAAGAAAGCTATTAAATAATAAAAAAGTGAGCGGAAGTTTGAAAGTTGCCAACCTAATAGACTAATTTATATAATTATTGAGAAAACTAATGCCAGAAAGAATAACAAGAGATATCAAAAAGTTTTTTAGAAGAATTCCAAGATGCGCGGTGAGTACTTTGGTTTACTCGAGATGAGTCTAATTTGCTTGACTAAAGACGAAAAGAAGAAGGAGTATATCTGTATTCGTCTGGATTTGAATGATGAGAAGTTTGTTTGTTTGACACATATAAACACCGAAAACTCTATAAAAAACTGAAAAAGACAACATATTGCAGAAATGTGGCTATCCCAACATTTTTGCCAAAACGGCTCGTAAATGGGGGCGAAAAACTGAGACCAAATGCAAGGGAAATCCCGTTTGAAAACTCCAATCCCAAATTTAAAGGTGAGCTTTTTCGGGGGGTAATCAAAACAGCGCCGTCAAATTTCTCAAAATCCAAAAAACCAAGCCGGTTCAAGTTTTATATCAAAAAATTCCTTGGGTTCTTGGCTCTTTTTAAAAACTCTATAAATCTATAAAATATTAACTTTTTTTAAAAAACTGTTTCCCCCATCATGGAGCCAAGAACGCAAGGAATTTTTTGATATAAAACTTGAACCGGCTTGGTTTTTTGGATTTTGAGAAATTTGACGGCGCTGTTTTGAACGTTTTCTATTATGGCGCTGTTTTGACTACCCCCCGCTTTTTCAGATAGTAAAATCAGAATTCTTATTGAGAAATGTTATTTACCTATCAAGTATTTAGTTTCCGGTTTATGGGATGGAAAGATGGCATCGATTAAAATTTGGAACCAAATGCAGCCAAATATCGTTGCCAAATACTCGCGCATCGTGCCAAAGAAGCCTGGTATTCGACTTTTGCACGGCTTGTGGTCGAACCTGGAAGTGAATCCAAGATTGGTAAGGGTTGAGCTTTTGTTTGCATGAATATTACCTAAAAAAAGAGATAGAAAACTATTATTGTAGTCTGAATTTCTTATTTGAATTAGTAAACTAAGCAAGCTTTGACCAATCAACAATGTTTAATCAAGTTATATTATATAAGTTTAGCTAAGAAATCTCAAATAGAAATATGTTTAAATTTCTGTTCTATTTTAAAACCATAATATATTTAACTGTTCTTTAGGCTAGAGTGAATATCCCTCCCAATTGCTCTGAAAAGTTTAAGATCATCTATCGTGGTTTTCGAGCAAAGAAGCTCTTGGAGCAAATTGCCAATGTGAGTTTTAAATCTCAATGATATGCAAATAAATAAAATTAAAAATAAAATAACAAAAAATAATTTAGAATCGAGAAGTCTACTCCTGGTTAACTCTTCGTTTGACGAAAGAGGTGGATCTCCATTTTTTTCTGAAATGGAGTGAAACCGAGTGAGTAATTTTATGTGAAAACTTTGTCAATAAGTTGCTTTGTATGAAAGTTATTTTAAGTAATCTTAAGCATTTAAGCAAGTCTATTATTAAAGGAAACTTTATTAAGGATATTGAATTTTTAGAGGGCGATTGGTTCCGCAGTTGACATACAAGAAACCAGGAGTGGACGCGATCGACCGAGAAACCAAGAGAGAACACGAAGAAGTGCCGAAGGGACAAAAAATGGTTTACAATCTACGCGTCAACAAGGAATCTATTTATATAAACATTACAGATAATGGAAAATATTGAGAATAATGAATTAGAGAAGATTTGTGAAGATTTGCTCTTTTTGTGAAATTTTTTTAGTTTTAAAGTTAAATCATTTAAGAAGAAGTTGCTTGTGATAAACAGTTGTTGCTATTGCTGTTGAATGCAGCAATAGCAACAACTGATTATGCAACATAAAAATATAAAAAATATAAAAAAATGTTGCTATTAAGTATGCTATTGAATGCCTTATGCTTTTCTTTATCCTTAAAATGACGAGTCATATAATGCTTTGGATAAATTTTGGAAAACACGATCACGAAAATCTGAAATACTTTTTGGGAAAAGATACAAAACAAAAGCTTTAACTAACTGTATGCACTTAATTATGCAGAGTCAAAAATTGGTTATTTTACGAAACAACAAAGCAAGCAACACATTGCAAGTCACAAAATCGAGTTATTGAAATCACACATCGCTTTCCTTTTCATCATTCAGTTTGATAAGAAAGCTTCCTCTTCTTCGAAAAGGCGAAAATCCAGTCTAGACCAAACCTTTTCTATTTCAAACTTTGTAATTTTGATGAAATTCTTATTGATTACAGGGTTATTTCTATTGAAATATTTATTAAGTGAAGGTAGTTGATTTATTTTAATTACTGGATTTGAGGGAATTTAGGTAGTGGGGAAAAGTGGTGAAAAGGGAAATGGAGAAGTTTTGGAATTTTTGAGTTTAGGGGTTTGATGTGATCCAGATGTTGAGCGTTTCTTTGTTTGCTGTTCAGGTTGACTGTTTTATGTTAGGTTACAATTTAAAATACCGTAATCTCAGTATTTGCTCTTTCTTACGTCTTCTAGCATCAGCAACAGTGTTTCAATTCAGTCATGGACCTGTGAGCCAGGCCAGAGCGGGCCAGGTCTATTTGGTAAGCCAGAAACTAGATCTGGACCTGGCTTCTGGTCTGATCCTGAACTTGCTGGCTCGGCCTTAAAAATTGTACGAAGCACAACAAAACAAGAAAATACATTGCAATCATAAAACCACAAAGTTGAGTCACCGGAACCACAGATCGCTTTCCTTTTCATCATTCAGTTTGATAAGAAAGCGTCCTGGCCTGGAAAAGGCGAAAATTCAGTCCAGACCAGACCTTTTCTATTTCAAACTTTGAGATTTCGGATCCAGTGAATCCGTCGTTTATTTTGTATGGACAGGATTTGGATGTGAATGTGAGTATGAAAAAAAAATCTGCATTGTTGAACTAATGAAAATGAACTAAAATTTTCCAAAAATACTTGAAATCCGATGATTTTTAGCCTCAAACACTGTAGAATCGATTAGTCCGGTTATTGGTTTCTTTTTAAAGATTTTAAATTTGTTCAAAAATTTGTTCTATTTTTTAGATCCAGTAATATTTCTTTAGACAACAGTCATTGTCAATTTGCCAACAAATGGTATCGTCCAAATCAACGGCCTTTTCCTTGAGCCCAACAAAACTTTCTTTTTGATCACCTCAGCGAATCTCGCTTTTAGGTTATCCTTAATCATCTTAAAAACAATTTCTTTGTTTTCAGTGCACCCGATTTGCAACGTCAAGGTTATTTACGAGTTCTTGGACCGACGGTTGTATTGAAGTTGCTGAACAATTCCACCAACAACTTCTACTTGTCGTTTGTGCTCTATCCTGGAGGTGATTGAGTAGAGATTACATTAGAAAGCTGATCTCAGCAAATTTTAGATGATAAAGCTGATTCAACTGGACTCAATAACCATCAATTGTTCCTGTTCACTGGAGAAAATGTCTCAATTCCTCCATTTTATCTGATTGGTCAATCTTCGGGGGCGATGATCACAATTATCAATCAAAAGTATTCAAAAGACGCGTGCTATGATTTTGATCTACAGCAAGTTCAAATTGTAAGTGTTTTAATGTGAATTCAAGGACATGGTTGATATAAAGTAAAGTTTTACTTTTTGAGTCTTTCATAAGTTTCTAAAACTTAAGTTCTTTTCAGAGAGACAACTGTGCAATGACATTGTATGCTGGGGCGGCTCCCAGCTACAACCCGAATCTCTATACAATCGACAGTGTCAGGTAAAGCAACTAGACTGATCTCAACTTCGCATTTCATCTTCAGTCGCGCAAACTATCCCTGGCCAACTCTTTCCGCTGCCTCGTACACATTTTTTGTCAATACCAGCTGTGCGGCCACTTTTTCCTTGATCAACTATGTCCCAGGTTGGAAACGGTTTAACATTAGTCTTAAAACTATCGATGAGTATTATAGCCATATATTGTAGTTATTTCCAGGCACTCGCAGCTTCACACAAGCATTTGGCACGCAAAGCTTCATAGTCAGTTGTGACTATCCGGGATTGAAGTACAGTCGAAAAGAAGCCGTCAAACCGTTTCAGCTCACGTTTGATAGTGGGTTTAGCATTAAACAATCAATATTATTCAATATTTGAGTTTTATTTTGTAAAACCCAAAGATCTTCAGCCACCGATCCAAGCACTTATTCGATCCGAACAACTTACGTGCAAGTCAACGCTGGAACGGGCGGATCTCTGGGGGTGCAGGTTCTCGAAAAAGGAAATGTGACCAGCGATTGGAATAGGTAAAGATAGTTTTGTTTAGATCTGTTATGGAACTGTGGTCCAAGGTTTACGATAGTTTAGCGTAAATGGAAATTGTCTCTTAACTATGCATGCTAACCGTCATGTGTGAAAATGTTTGAATATGAAATTTAGCACCTCAACTTCCCCTGCTCCTCCCGATGGAATCGGGCATAGTTTGAAGGTTAAAATTTTCAAAAGCTAAATTGTTTTTAGATCACTTCTAGTTAAAGCTATTACCAAATAACAAGGTAGTTTTGAATCAAAAACCAAATTTTCAGGTAAACTGGGTGCCTGGTGGTGATGAGAGAAAAGGATTTTTGTGGAAATGGATATATGGTCAACCGATGATTTATTACATGTCTGCTGCTCATGATCCAGTCATTTTCGATGTACGGAACGATCCATTTGTGAGGGTTTTATAGTTTACAAGCAAAATAAGATTATTATTCGAAGATCAATCCAAAACCAAGTCACCGTTTAGTCTAACAGAATCGTCACCGGTTCAACTATTCAAGTGAATGTGAAGATAATCAATTTCGTTCAAGAGATCTATTTCTACAATGGAAAACAAAATGTCAGGTAGAAATCGATCTGGATTCAATAGCATACCAATCTTTAGTCTATCCACATTAGCGAAAGGACCGCAAGTGTTCCAGGATTCCGTCCAGATCACACCGAACACCGACAACTTGCCCCAGACTCAATACATCGCTGCTTTTACGAGTTACATGAGTAAATTTTGAAGTATTATTATGCCTAGAGTTAGCCTAGAAGTATTATTATTATTACTTTTAGCACTGGTGTTGTCTTTATAGCTTAAAATTTATAAAAACAATCCTTCTAGTGTAACCAATCCTTCATTTTTCTGCAACTAGGGAAAAATAAAGAGCTTTATTGCACCAGAAAGAGTGTCTTTACATTCTCAAGCGCAAGTGCACTGCTTTCTATTTTTTAGTTCATTAAAAATCTGCAAACTCAGTCTTTTATAGATCAATCCGATTATCCGGGTCTGACCGATTATACTCTGTTGGATGTGGCTCAAAACGGAACAACCAATATCACGATTTCATCAAAGAACAACACCCAAGCGCCCACTTTCACCAGGCTTTCCTATCTCCCCATGTTTCTTGGAAATGTTACAGTGGTAATTGTATGAATCCCAGTCACTTGATCCGAGATTTTAGACTGGTGATGACACCTGCAATGTCGAGTTGTTCGTCTCGGGAATCCCGCCACCATCGATCCGCGATAGAATGAAGCTCTTCAATTTCAAGTTCATTTCAAGTCCACCTAATACTCTTGCTTTAGTTATATGAATTCAATATAACAAAAAAATTTCAGCCCATCCTCGACAACTTCAAAAACATTTATCCGATCAGCTATCCGGTCTGCCTCGGCCACTTTCATTGTGCCACCAAATTGCGCCTTTTCAGCCGATATTGCTCGAATGAGTGGTTCGTTGAAGCTTAGATATTGTTAAAAATCCAGATTTCAAACTAATCGACATACTTCTTTATTCAACTAATGGGTACAGGAATAACTTTGCATTTTGTTGATCCGGTTTGAGTTCTTTGAGAACTTTTGAGCGGTTTAGCTAAGAGCTGATAATCAACCAGTTGATAAGCATACTACCAAACTAATTGTAAATAGGTTATCGTACTATCTAACTAAGTAAATGAGTTACTGACACAGTACCAAGCCCAAATTGAGGTATGATAAGTCAGCATGATATTTCAGATACAATCGAAAACTTGCCCATTGGTTCTGTCGGCTTCCTGATGAGTCCTGAGTATCCGGGAGTGTACGAAAACTCGCAAGGCTATATGGGCTACACTCGTCAAAATAGTGAAACTCATTTCTGTTTGTTTTTAAGATTCTAATCTATTAACTGTCGAAACGTTTGTAATTTTGACATAATAATTTTCATTGAGAAATTCAGGTAAACCAAGTGCTAGTATCGAGGCAAAGATTTTCAATGCAAATATGGGTTTCTATGCGAACACGAAAGGAGTTTTGAATGTCACAATTACGGGAACAAAAGGGGCAAATTCCCTCATTATGTAATCATCTTGCTCTTTTGTCGAACTTTGTGCTTAAACACATCCTTCCTGGGGCACTCAATCCTTCATTTTGCGAAAACGTTTGGCATCTTATTATCAAGGAGTTGAGAAATTCGGTGCACCAGACAGTGTGTGTTTCTGTTTTCAAAACACAGAATAGACATTTACTTCCACTTTAGTGATAGTGACTCTCCATCAGGAAATCGTTTGGTCGCCGATGGAAACGCTTTGCAAGTTTGTTTTTAACAGCAATGTAGTTTTTCTAATTTGTCAAAGCTAAAGAAATTACAAACTAGTTTACTAGCATACACTATAAATCAATCATTTACGACGATTAGGGCGATTGGCACACTGTCACTGGTTCGCAAGGCTTCTTGCTTCAATACTACATTAGGGAGCCGAAATCTGGAGCTTCTTCTTTGTTTGGTCTTGCTTCTCTTTTATTGCCACTTGTTTATTATGCGTGTTAAAGCTTTAAAACCTTTTACGAACTGTCAATTCGAGTTTTATTCAAGTGAAATGAATAGACATTGAAAATAAAAGTGCAAATGAAAGTAAAACTGAGGCGATTCTCATAGTCGGTTCAAAAGTAAAAAGCGTGCCATGACAAGAAAAAACAATCAAATTTTGGATTATTAACAACAACAATTTTGGATTATTTTTATTGTTTTTGTTCCTATATTGTTTGCCGATTGTAGAAAATGGAAAGAAAGTGAAACGACCTCCTTTTATATCCCCAAAAAATGCAATTTAGTGCTATTCCTTAGGCTACGCTAGGTTAATCTTTTTGAAATTCTGATGGAGATTCCCAAGCAAACTTTAGCCAACTTCGAATTACTCTTCAAATGACAAATAAAATATTTTTGTCAGTTGTGCCTTTGTGTCTAACACTTAAAATTTCTAACGAATCAACGATACAGTCTAGAAAGAACGAACTCTCTTTGGATGAGAACTCTAGGAATGAACGTTGACAGAAGAGGCCTACCGAACCCCGGCGAGCCGAGTTAGTGACTATTTTACGGTTTCCAAGCTTTTACAGAAGGTCAACACTCTAAATTCCCCACTACAGGGTGACCAGAAAATACGTCATTGAAAAAAGAAGAGAGAACACTGAAAAATAGGGAAATGATGAGTCAGCAAAGCTGAGGAAAAGAGAAAAGGGGGTTTCAAAAGAAATTTTAAGGTTAAAAGCTATTCCACAACAGATTAATTTAAGATTTTGGGTGTAATAAGTATTAAGTATTCTCAGTTAAATGCCAAAGTTAGAGCCAATTTCATGGTAGTAAGCGAATTTTACGATAACATAAAGATTTAGTTGTTTGAGCTGCTTGTTCTCAGCCGACACACCACAGAAAGCTCTCAAAGTTTAAACATCATGTTTCATTTCTTTTCTAAAGGCATAAAAAGTTACAGTATGCTAAAATAGTCTTTAACTCAGAATACTGTATCCAATTTAGCTGCCCATGAATATACAGGGTGGCTGAAAATTACGTGGGACAAAGAAAACGCCATAATTTAATTTTCTTTCAAAGAACATGTAAAAATATTCATTTATATAATAGTTGTAACAAAAACATATAATAATTCCAAGGAATTTTCGAAGTGGCGTAGCAATCGACCTACGGACTTTCGAAGTTCGTAGGTCGATTGCCTGCAAAAACGTCAGAAGATAGCGAAAGCGAGAAGTTGTATCTACTTTCCTAAAATCCCGAAGTTGTATCCAGAATAAAACCTAATAGAACACATTCGTTTTGGCTTTACATTTGCTTCAGCCAAATAGACACAGACTCTTCAATTAATTCGTATTTGCTTGTCTTCAATCGTGTTCTTTTTGCAGCTCTTCCTTCATCGATTGCTTCCATAATCCGCGACCGACCTTTTCCTAAGAATTCTTGAAATTGTTGATTGCGACAATTCGAAGTCCTTCGCCAATTCAGGCGTTCTTTTCAAAGTCGATTGATCGAGTATTCGCTTCTTTAAGGTCAAAAATTTTTTACATAGAAGCTGTATTTCAAAAAAATAATTTTTTCGTGTCATCTTCTTGACATTGCTTAAAATAGGTGATTCTGAAAAGTTAAAGGATTACCCTAAAATTCCATAGATAAGAGCGGTTTAATTTTTACCAAAATTTTTTTAAAATTTTAATTTATTATAAAACCAAACAACAACAACAACAACAAAAGTAACAATAATTTAACTAATATTTTCAATTTCTACATCGTCATCATCGTTTATATCCATACAGGAAAAATCGTTTTTGAGATTTTCAACATCACATAGTGCTTTTTCTATGTATGTGTGATAGTGTCAGAAGAGATGGAAAAAAAACTTTCGCTGACCAAAAATGCTGCTTCTTGGTAGCTCATTCTTTTTCTGTTAGACGTAGGTATCAACAAACCATTTAAGGACAAATTGATGGATGGCTGGGAAAAATGGATGGCAAACGAAGCCAATAAAAATAGAGATTATAAAGCGTATTGCTCATTTATGCTAGCTTTACCTCATAAGAAATCGTTTTTCTGGTCCAAAAGGTGAGCTGAATTTAAGCTCGAAAATAATCATTTTTCAAAAATCTCTAAATTTTACGGGAAAGTTGCACTAACTTTTTGACGAGTAATTTCTTGGAGTTCACTTGCAAATAATAGAACAAAATGTTCTTGAATTGGTGGATTCGTTTGTAAAAAATTTTGGTCAAACTTTTTCCGAGAACCTTCTTTCCAACCTAATATAACAAGGGAATGGTCTAAGCTCGAAGTTGAGAATCGATTCGAGCCAGAGGATAGCCATTTCTCTCGTTGCTGAATCAGGAATGCTCAAAACGTAAATTTGCCAAGCCTAACCAAAGCCCGTATGCTCCATTTCCGGCTGGAGCATACGGGCTAAGGCTAAGCCTACAATAAGAACTTGGACAAGCCAGGCCTGGGCTGGTAGCTGGCTAGTTCAGTGCCAGGCCAATTCCAGTTCAGGTTTTGACCTAGCACTGAACAAGTTTACTTTGGTATTTGTAAACTTGATGATTTCCACGCTTTAAAGCACCAACCCATGATTATTTTACGAGTTAGTTTTTAATTGCTCATTTCCACAGTTTAACAACTAAGCAACCAAATCACTTGTAAAGTTTCTGTCAGAAATTTTGAAACAAAAACACGAGAAATTTCCGGTTCACTTATCTATTGCTGAGTTATCTTTTGAAAGCAAGGGATTCCATGGGAAAGAGTGTCCACATAGGGCAAATGGCAGGGAGTATTGGGATTGAAAAGAGTCAGACAGACAGAGTTCTACGTTCTCTTTTGGGTATCACTTGCCTCAGCCTTCCTCTTTCGCATTGGGTCTCCTTTTTCCTCAAAAGCAATGGATTGAACGCTTTTGTGGTAAACAAGTTTTTTTGTTTTAATTTCGCTTTGTTTAAGGCTAGTAGCTCAATGTCATAAGATGTGCCTTCAAACTATGTTTTCAAAGGCATACACATTAACAACTTACTGCCACAGTTGACTGATTAAAGTACAAAGTAAAGTAGGACCAAGTAAACTAGATGATTATATCTATTAGGCTGGCCGATAAGGCTTTAGAGTTTATAAATGATAAATTCACCAATTGTTCTACAATTAGCTCTAAATAGAAAATGTTTCTTATTCATTTTTCTATCTTTTTATGACAGTTTAGGTCTCTTTCCAAGCAAATTCGAGTCCAAACTCTAGTTTTTCTCGTAAAATTCGATAAAATGCTCTACAAAGAAATCGGCTGAACAGATTATCGTGAAAATTCGGCTATGTTCTATCTTTTATTCTATCGAAATTTTTGAGATTTATCTTTTATCTATTGACAGCAATACAAGTTTCTATAGATCGCAATTGCGTCTTCGGGTTGTCGCCTTTTTTGGCTACCCGACTTCCCACCCTATTAAAAACCCTAGACATAACATTTTCACAAGATTCAAACGTGCATTTGTGGAAAAATAGTAGTAGAAAGTTTTAATTTAAGGGCAAAATCTCATGGTGGTGAGATTGCGAGTTAAAAGAGTTCTATGTACAAGAGATCACTGGATGTTCGAAACCGATAAAGTGTTTGGTTATAAATCTTAGTTTACAGTTTAACTCTAATATGACACCACGATGCCATTAGAAAGTTTCAATTTTATGGCAAAAATCTCATGGTGGTGACCATGGTGACTCAGAAATTTCACGTAATAGGAAGTCAGGAAATCGGGAAAAAATTACAAAATATCAACAATTTACCCGCCCAAAATATTCACTTTGACCCCACAATAACCAATAGAAGCCACTAGAAATTCAGGGAAAAATCTCGCTGAACCGACTTTTATTTGAACACCCTGTATCTGCCGCATCGTGTAAGCATAGCATAAGCTTTTCTCAAGATCTCAACAATTTTCTAGCAATTTTTCTAGCTTCCTTTATATATCTTGTCTATTTTTTATGATCTTTCTTTTCCCGATAACCCATCAAAACATTTGGAACATTATTGCCTTCGTTAGTCGCCTTTCACCAATTAAGCGATCCAATTCTTTTTCTCTTTTTGTTTTCCCAGCTGGCTTTAGTTTTATTTTCTCTGGGGAGCGTTGGTGAATCAAAAAAGTGTCAGGTGGGATAGAAATATTATTGGAATTTGAAATTAACTTCAAAAAGACCTCAACCTCAATTTTCTGAACTAAATCTGCTTGTAGCCAGTCTAGAATTCCTGTAAGTTTTTGGATTGAGTTCTGTAATTCAAAGTTTTCACATTAAACACAATAAACCTTTCTTGAAATATCTTCATTTTCATTTATCAAAAATTGATTCTTTTGGAGATAATGAATAAGCAGACTGAGAAAAGAAGGGAAGGAAGGAGGGGAAGGAAAGAAGGGAAGGAAGGAGGGGAAGGAAAGATGGGAAGGAAAGTAGCGAAGGAAAGATGGGAAGGAAAGAGGGGAATCAAACGAGGACAAGGGTCATTCTTCTATTTCCATTTTCTCTCACAAAAACATTTTTGTTTCCAGAATTTTTCACAGCACTTCCCTTTTATCAAAAATATCTTCCACGATAAAGTGATCCATCTTTTTTTTGTTTTCTTGCGAAATTTTTTAACACTTGATTGAAAAGCCAAAGATTTCTTTTTTCTAAAGATTTATCACCAAAATTAAGCAAAAGTCCTTGAAATGACATTTTGTTGAGAAACTTTTTCGATTCGACAATTCTGTGACAAAATTTTTTGCGCTTTTCTCAGGTTTTTAAAGAAAAATGTTCACAATTATTGTCAAATTTTTAGTTTTTATTCGAAATTTTCCCAAATCATGACTGATTTTCAATTTGAAAAATTGCAAATTGAAATTCGATCCGGAAACAAAGCACAGACAAAAGCCTGGCTAAAATTTCATCGAAAAAACGGCTTTTTGAGGCATTCTCCATCGATTTGAACGCTTTTTTGTTAGGAATTTGCAATGAATAGTCAACTGTACAGTTTTTTTTGAAGCAATCAAATGTTTTGGATCCATTTGTACTCTTCGATTTTGAACGATTTTAGTTGCACCAGGTAACTCATATCAACGTGATTTGTTTCATTGAAAAGTCACACTTGTTTCTGTTTAGTGACAAAGCATCATTGCGTAGTGGTTTTAAAAGTCTTGTACTTTTTGTAATAGCTAAATCATCAAGTCGTTGAAGCATTAAAAGTTCAAAATAGTTCTTCCTTAAATGCGAATACCCAAGCTCTTTTCATCTTCCCAAAGCCCTAATAACGCAAACCATTTTTTTTTCACCTAATTTCTAATTCAAACAGCCTTCCGACAAATATGTAAATTGTAAATTGTGACCTTTTCGACAGAATGATCCCTGTGACCATCTCTTTTACCCATCTTGAGCCCTCTCTTAGATAAAGGACGATGCTCATGGATTGCTTACACGAGGAAACGTAGAGACACGTTGCTTACTAGGGATTCGAGAGACTTGAGCAATGAGTCATTGCTTATCCGAAACAATCTAGCCCAGGACTTCCCAAATTGAGTTTTAAGACTCAAGTGTGTTCCTTCCGAGTTATCGTTTTCTAAAAAGCGCTCCAAAGAAAGAAAACTAGTGTGATTTAACGGCCGAGTGGCTTGCGTCCTTGTTTCTAAAGCAAACAGCTGTTAGGCGGCAAGTCCGACTCCCGCTTGAATTAAATTTTTGGTTCTTTGCTAGATCGATTCAGAAGCTTTTAGTTAACAGCTAATAAAATTATTAGCTTTCAAGAGTATAGAAAAGTAATAAAACTGTTTGAACAATTGAATGAAAAGCGCTTTTTAGAATACCATTACTTGAGATTTATTTGACGCCTTACTCAAGTAATTACTTGCTCGAGAGGAACCAGTCTATTTAACACTATCAGAGCTTGTACAAGGATGTTCCAATAGGGCCTATAAGTCAGGAAACGGGTTCTGTAAGCTGTAAGAACCTGTAAATCAAGTGCAAGATCTGGTCTGGCTTCTGGTGGACCAAAACTTGGCTTTGTCTAGCCGGGAAATTTTGTTTTTGATTTTTAAACTTATTCTTGACTGAATTCTTTACTCAAGCCGAGTTCCTGCCCCAGCTCCCTTAAATATTTGAGTACTTTATGGCGCTTATCCCCGACATCAATTTTATTTTTTGGTTCTTTTGCCTGAAAGGATTGAATGACTTGGATTCCTTCTTAAAATTTAGTTTTACTTTACTACAACATTGAAGAACCTTACTACAAGATTATTTGGATTTCAAAAGTTCCAATGGTTTTATTTTAAACCCTTTCAATGATGTGATAATTGTTTACACATTTTGCCTAAATCTGTCTATTTGCCGAAAAATTCAGCCAACTAATCCGTAACTAATCTAATTCCAGATCTGAAATGGAATTGGCTGAAAAATTTTCTTTTGTAGGTGTTCATCTGGGTAATTAGTTCAGAAATTTTTGAAATTTAATTAATTTTCTAACTTATTTCATTATTGGAAAAACATTGCCAATAATGAAATAAGTTAGAAACTAATTACTAATTACAGAACCAATTACCCAGATTTTAGTACACTTTTCCTTTCAATTTATCTGTGAAACTCGAGCTTTTCAGATTCAAAAATCTTTCACAATCTTTTAATCATTGATCTCTTCGATTTATATTTCAATTTTTGTTTTTCAACTTCAAATTGCAGAAGATGACCGCTCCTCGGATGTGGCTATGGCGTCCACATATGAAAGTTCACTCTCCTGTTTTGGAGAGAAACTACCGCTGTTGTTGCAGCTTCTGCAACTCAGTGGTTGGTTTTGAAATCATATCTAGAAGTGTAGAAGTGTAGAAAAAAAATTTTATCTAAACTTTTCAGTGCGGCTTCAAAGCATTCAACTACGTGATGGTGTTCGTCTTGGCGATCACCTGGCCGCTCTATCTCATCGGAGCTGCGAGACTTGAGGGAAAGCAGGTGAGGAAGATAGAGGAAGATAAGTAGGGTTATTCCAAGACCAGGCCTGACCGTACTGCAGGTTTAGCTGGCTCACAAGTACCTGGATCCGGAGTTGGCTTTTGGTCTGATTCTGGCTTTGCCGAGCCTTTCCTGACCTATCTTACAGATTCTAGGGTCTACTGGATGATGAAAATAGAGTTTAAAAAGTTCAAGCCTAGCTACCTTGTCAATATTTAGTGGTGGTCGTTGACCTTATCGACTGGAACGACCATTCTTGGATTGATCTGCGCCCGCACTCTTCGCCCGTTCTACATGCAACTCTATGTCGTCTATGCGGTGAGTTTCTCAAAATATTAAGGCCTTTAAAAAGCAAGTTAGACACTTTTTAAGCATCACTGTTAGATCAAAAACTAAACTGTATAAATTTGAGGCTATCACTATCACAATGAACATCCTCGGCTGTTCTGTTGTCCTTTTCTTCACCAGCGTTGGGTATTTCGCGTGAGTTTCGGAAATCGTTTAATGAAGAGAGATTAGAAAAGAAATTTTGAATAAAATACCCAGATCATATTCTCATTTTAGTTATCAAGACCCCGAGATGAAAGCCGAGATTCGTCGCACTCTCGCCGACGAGATCGGTCCCGATATGAACATCAATCCCGATATGTACCTGCGAATGGGAGAGTATATGCTTTGTGAGTTGATTTCAAAATTGAACTAACAATAAAATTACATAGTTTCTTTAAAATAAAGTAAATTATTGAATTAAGTTCATTATTTTCAGTGTTGATCATCTTCATGATCTTTGCTCTTCTCTTCTTCGTCTGGCAACTCCAACTCGCCTTCAGCTTCTACTTCTACGTTCGGTTGGTAGCTAAAAATGAATTCCAGAAGCTCCAGGAAAAGGATTGTGTGAAGATTTTCGAATAAAAAGTTAAAACTTTGGTAAAAAGGGAGAGGTAGAGGCAAAAAAAAGTTGTACTTTGAACACTAGTCTAACCTTTTTGAGAACCGAATTTCAGCCTATAACTTAATGTGTCAATTTAGTGTTATTTGGGTTTACTTGATAACAATTTACTACTTTTTACTTACCATTCATTAAAACCCAATTTAGTGACCGTCAATTGGAGATCGAGGAGCGTGAGTCGGGAGTTGTTCGCCCAGTCGCCGCCATCCCAGCCCCACTCGTCAACAAAGCGAAAGATCTCGAGAAGCAAGATCCATCTGTCTTCATGCCTGTGAGTTGAAAAACCTAATCCTTAAATACTCGAGAATTTAGATATTCTAAGAATTGTACTAGTTTTAGAATTATATTTCAAAGATCTCAGGTACAATTTCATTTTCAGCTCAATCCACCCGCCTACGAGGAGGCTTAAAGCGTCACCGATTTGTGCGACTCAAAAAATGTCAAAAAAAAATTGATTGACTTTAACTTGATACGGTTTCTATGATCAAATATGTGTTGTTTTTACCAAAATTTGTTGTAATAACTTTGACCTTTTTCTAATCTCTTCTAAAATAAGGGCAGTAACGTGTTGTACACATCAACAATTGTTTTTTATTCGAAAGATAGCGTAACAATAAATTCTGTTTGAAAAAAGCAAATGAAAATGGAGTAAATGCCAATTGAAGAAGTTTCCGATAAAAAAGAAAAATACAAAGTACATATTACAGTCGACTCTCTCTATAACGGAATGAAAGGTACCAAAAAAAAAATTTCCCTTATATAGAGTGCCGTTATATATAGCCAAAATTCCATTCCATTATAGAGAGTTTTCCGCTATAAAGAGTTCCGTTATAGAGGGAGTCGACTGCAGGTTGTAAACTAACCCGAAATACCTTTTCTATCACTATGCCGATCCATTCCTTCACCTTAACTTTGGACCATTCCCTTGTAAGTCTTGTCCCTTTCTTAAATTGCTAATATCTCAGCGTAGAATCGATATATTTGAATGAAATTTGAAATGGATTCTTCTCAAAAACTTACAAGCTTAATGCCAAAATTATAGAGTTGTTCGGCGATTAGTGACCAAGTTCTAGCTATAACGGAACTCTTTATAGCGGAAAACTCTCTATAATGGAATGGAATTTTGGCCATATATAACGGCACTCCATATAACGGAAAATGTTTTTTTGGTACCTTTCATTCCGTTATAGAGAGAGTCGACTGTAATATGTACTTTGTATTTTTCTTTTGTATCGGAAGCTTCTTCAATTGGCATTTACTCAAGTTTTTGTACTTTTCCTGGCAACCAAAACTTGCCAACTTCAAATTTGACAAAAGTTGGTTTGTAGTCTTGGACATGCAATGTGTTTTGGTGCTAATGGAATTTACAGAACAATTTTAAAGTGCATTCTAGCAAGTGCTAGAAGCAGAATAAGCCTAAAGTCTTGTCTATTTTAATGTTTATTTAGAAAAGTTTTGTTCTACACAAATCAGATTTTTCAGGAGACGTTCGGTTTCATTCTAAAGAGTGCTCAAAGTACAGTAGCCTTAAACTTTCATGTTTTATCAGCTTTTTTTGCTTTGCTAAAAGTCTTTTTTCCAAAAAAACATGTGGAAAGCCCATGGGACTTTGGACTCTTTTGATAGATGGAGTGGGACAGAGAGAAAAGGGAGAGGTAGAGTCAATTTCAAATGGCCATTCAAAAGGATATGGGAAAGGTGGATGAAAAAATGAGAGGATTTAGAACTTTCAAGAAAAAGAGGTCTAATTCTGAGAATAGTGGCAAATTCTCGTCTATTTCTGAAAAAGAAGAGCTATCCGTTAATTGAATCGGATGAGACTCGGATGAGAAATGAGACTCGGGTGAATTAATTTTAGACTGTTCTCGATGTTTGGATATTCTACATTTTTGATAAGAGCTATTTGCAACTTAATAGAAAATGTTCAGAATCGTTTTCGGAGAGCTTTTCGTTTTTTTCTTGAAACCAGGATTGTTTTTGAAGCCAGCCAAGCTCCACTAGAGCAGCTACTCAATTTTCAGAGTTGAAGTCACTTGGTTCTTTTAAAGATTTCATTTAAAACTTTGTCCACATTCTCTTGATTTACAATGTACAGCTTAAAATTCAAGGGAATACATCAGTACTATATCTGAGCTTTGGAAAAAAACTCATACAACATCGAGCGCTGAAAAGCCGCTTATTGGAACGCCGATAATGAGCAAAAAAGGAGGCTTTATTATCGAAAAATTTGTCCAAACAAAGAATGAAATCTGTTTTGAACGTTTTTCTTTCAAATGTTTTGATTAAATTCTTGCAAATCTTAGCTCCTAGAAGAACTTCTCAATTGCTCAATTTCAGAATTGAGTTCGTAAACTTTGATAACCCAATTAATTATCCAATTTTTCATCAGCTTATCAATTTCCTAAAGAAAAACAAATCGAACAATCTTTTCTTTCTCAAATTTTTATCTCAAATTTCTGGGAGTAAAAGAAATTAGAGCTGGGAAAACAAAACCATCAAAAAAGAAAAGAGGAAAAAAAGAAGGAAAGATAAGAAGCCGGCTAAGTGGTCCCTTTATAGACGTTCTACACCATTCGATCTTTGTTTTCTCAAATTTTAATTCAAAATTCCTATTTGAAAATTTGAATTCCTAGATCCTATCTCTTTTCGGAAATTAATCCTTATTATATTGTTATTAGAAATTCTGGACTTAAGCATGACCATCAATTTCCGCGTTTCTCAGAAAATCTATAATTCTCAATTTCCGTTAGAAAAAGCTTAAAAACCTAAACTTTCGAGAAATTATGATATTTTTTAGTTAAGAGAATATCAAAACTCTTTCGTTTTGCTTAAAAATGTATATAATTGCACTTTGAACTTGAATTGCATGGCAAATCTCATCTATTGGGTTGGTGAATTGAAAACTGCGGGACTTTAAACTAAAATTTATTCAACATAAAACCATGAATTCATTTGAAATAATTTCCATTATTATTGACGACTTCTGCCTATTTTACAGGCAATTTGCGGATTCCGTAGGATTTTGGTTTGTGTGTGAGACAAGTGTGAGACTCAAAAATGGAGGACTGGAGATGTCCCAGTTTGAGCACTTTCTTCAAAAGAAACCCATTTTGGTGTCAATAGAAAAGTTGTAGAGAATCAAAAATTAGGCTGATAGCCAAATTTGCAAAAAGATACACTTAGTAGTTTCGCTTAAAATGCAAGTTTTGTGAAAATTCGTAAATTTGGCATTTCTTGAAAACCAGTTTTTGAATCGTTCTGAAAATTTGGATATAAGCTTGATTTTTGATTCTCTACAACTTTTCCATTGACACCAAAATGGGTTTCTTTTGAAGAAAGTGCTCAAACTGTCACATATGACAATAGCCCGCAGTTTTCAATTCACCAACCCAATAGATGAACCTTTTCCTTTGGTCTATGTCTGGATCTCAATATTTTATTTTATTTTTGTCCTCAATTCTATTTTTATGCCTAGTATATGCCACCTCGCGAGTTTTTTTCTTTAGCTAAAAGCTTTTTCTCACAGCTTTCTCTTTCTCCCGAGTGTCTACGTAGAAAGGACTCAACTTTTGCTCTCTTCTATGACTCATCTCATTTCCCTTGGGTTTAAGAAGGACCCGATGACGAAAATGGTTTCTGCTCTTGACACAGATAATCACCATTATATAAAACTATATAAAACTGAAATTGCAAATCCAGTTGAATCTGTCTACCTTAAGAAAAAGCTCTCACCAAGCAAACAGATGCGAAAAGGTCGAGCCTGCTTCCACTACCATTTTCTCAAATATTCGGCTTAATTCTTTTTTCTAGAATAATACCCAGTTTATTTTATCGCCTTTATCGAAACAAATTGTACTCGCTTGATTGTACTCGCTGGCCGCTGGGCCGCGTTGACCGCTGTTGTACTGCTGGTTGTACTCGCTTTGTCCGCTTGTTGTCCGCTGGTTGTACTCGCTTGATTGTACTCGCAAATTCCCGGCATTTCGAAGAGCTGAACATTTTGGATTTCGATAAAATAATATTATGTGATAAATAATAGTCTTGAACTGAAAGATAAGATTTCTTTTAACGTTTATCCGATACAAGGATTTTCTTTGTAAACCGCTTGCAGGATCAATTAGGTCTTGATCAATTAGATCAATTAGATCAATTAGATCAAACATAGCTAAGGCCTAGCTGATTCACATGCACAACTAAAAACCAAATTTTTCCTCAAATTCTTCTTTCCTAAATTTCTTTCTCTAACCAAAAAAACAAATTATTTTGTTTTACTTAGACCACCATTTCCCTATTTATTATCAATGTTTGCCAAAAGTTTCTTTAGAAATCAAGAGATTCAAGACTATTATTTATTACATAATCTTATTTTATCGAAATCCAAAATGTTCAGCTCTTCGAAATGCCAAAAATTTGGTGCTGGCATCCGGGTCAAAACGCTCCAAACGATCCGGTGAATGAAGAGAATTATCGATGTTGTTGCGGGTGTTGCACGGCTACAGTGGGTTTAAATAATAAAAAGATTTTCAGCTGTAAATGATAAATTTGTAAAAACTGTTAAAAGTCAATGAATTTTTCAGTGTGGCTTTAAAGCTTTCGTCGGTTTTATTCTGGCTTCTGCCTCAATCGGATGGATTGGTTTCATTCTCGGCTTGTTGACTGGACCGTCTAATTCCGTTGGTCAGGTAAGACATAAAAGATTTAAAATTTATATCGAAATGTCTTCTAAACTCTTGTATATTGTGAGATTTCATTTATAGCTTTTAACATTTAGTATTTCTTGTAATAGAAGTCATTCAGATTTCTTGAAGTCGAATAGTTTAGATGGATTGGATCCGTTTAACTTCAACTCTTTGAAATTTCCCAAATTGATCAGATAAACAATAGATTAAAAACATATATTTACTAATTACTACTGTAAATACTGTAATAGAAGAGAAACCCGATAATTAGTTTACGTATTCAAACGCAAACTGTTACGCAAACCATTACGCAAACCGTACAGTAGTAATCAGTAATCAGTAATCAGTAATCAAGTAATCAAACAGTAATCACACTTTGAACACTCGTTTCTCTGTGTTGCTTTGTGCTACAATTTGCGCTTTGGTTTTAAACGATCGTCCTTGAAATCTAGTATTTTTGATCCCAAAAAGTCATTGGAAAATATTATGAGGCTTTGAAAAATGAAAAAAAAGTATTCGGGCAGTCGCTGATCACCGATATGCCTTCTGGTGCCGACAAAAAAAGGTGCCATTCTATAATATTATTTATGGTATCTACTATATATAAAGCAGAAGAGAAGTCTGTCCGTTTGTCCGTCTGTGTGCAGCCATTGGCAAAAACGGGCGGAGCTTAGATTACGCGGAAAAAGCGAACGTTAGTGAGCGTTTTTCGCTGATATAGTATAAAATTATAGTATAAAAATAGTAAAATTAAGTAAAAATTATAGTTTATCAAAGTATAAAGCTAAGAATCCAGCGGTTTTCAGATCATTTCCCTTCTTCTCCTCTGCGTCTACGGGTATTTCGGTTACTGCGCCATTAAGACCAAACGCCCATATTTTATTCAAGTTTTCCTCATCATTTTGGTGAGTGATACAAAGCTGAATTTGCTAAATGAAATAATCGATGCCTAACTTGAATTCTCCAGGCCGTTCACTGTGGATTCGGACTCTTTAGCAGCGCTTGCTTCTTCATCTACATCTTGTCGGCTCTAGCTGGGTGAGTTTTTTTCAAAAATTCTTACATTTCTTCAATCTAACTTATTCTCCAGGCTTACTAAAGTGATCTTATAATTTACAAGTTTTAGAGACTCATATGAAGCTAGGCAAAACATCGCACAGTACTTCAAGCACCGAAGCGCCAGCGAGTCCGATTTTTTGCTTGGTGAGTATTGTTGCTTATTGAAAGGATATTGTTTTCAATAAAATTTCCAAAAATCAAAAATCTTTCCAGGTTTGCTCGTCGTTTTGATGATCATCTCCGTCATCAATATTTGGCAGATTTGTCTCGTCAAGAGCTACTACAACTATTTGCGGTAAGTGAATTGTGTTCACTTAAGTACTCTATTTTATAATAGGCAGTTTTTCTAAAAACTACGATGATCAAGTCGACAATTTCATTCAATTAACTCAATTTTGGTATCATTCGATGAAGAATCACAAGCTTTCCGTCAATGAAACAAAAATTGAGCTGATCTGAAACTGGTGGATTGATTACGGTAGTTTATGAAAAACAACGGGGTGGGACAAATGCGACCTTTTTTTGCGCACCTGGACATTTGCGCACCTTTTTTTGCTGGAAAAGGCCTTAGGCAAGGCCGTAGAGCTTCGAAAATATTTCCATATAAGGGAATCGTATGTGTAGATTCCGAATTTCGACAAATCAGACCTCGCTGACACGTCAAATTTGGGCTAAAAGGCAAAGACTGCGTTAAGTTGTGTAGTTTTTGCCTTTTAGCCCAAATTTGATGTGTCAGCGAGGTTTGATTTGTCGAAATTCGGAATCTACGCATACGATTCCCTTTATGAAAACATTTTTGAAGCTCTACGACCTTTCCTAAGGCCTTTTCCAGCAAAAAAAAGGTGCGCAAATGTCCAGGTCCGCAAAAAAAAGCTCGCATTTGTCCCACCATTTGTCCCAAAACAACGACTTTTAGAAAGTGACTTAATAAAATTCAATAAGCTCTACTTCTTACAATAAATTTATCTTACAAAAATCTTTTCAGCGATCTTCAATTGGAGATCGAGGAGCACGAGGGCCCACAATCGAAGCGGGACCTCGAGAAAAACGAAAATTATTTGGTGAGCTTAAAGAATAACAAAAAAATCCCTTCCTTTAATGAATTTCTAAAGTTAACAATACAATTTCGATAAGCTAATCAGTTTTTAACTTCAAAATTTAGATCAACCCGCCACCATACTAGGGAAAACAAAGTGGACAACTTCAAGAACTTTTCTTCATTCTAATTCTTCGTAAATTCACATTTTTCACTGATCTTCACAATTTTCTTGCCGAAATAAACAAAATAAATCGCATTTCACGGAAAAATTAGCACCGTTGATTGGACGGAAACAAGGAAATTTCAGTTGAACTGTTTAAAAAATAGCTCAGAGATCTGAAAAGTGTTCGAAAATTCACAGAAAGATATTTTCTATTGAATTCAAAAGAGAATCTGAATCTAATTTCATCAAGATTATCAAGATTCATCAATACCGGCATCATTTTTTGTCTGTTTAAAGCCGGTCTTATCTATTGAAACATTCTCAATTCAGCTCTGAAAATTTCCAGGTATTTGAGAACAATTCCTGAATTGAATTTTTCGATGAATTAAAAAGCCATCTCTAGGTTGAAGTCTCTTCTTTTCTTGTGCCATTGAAATTAATTGCCACTATTTTTTTGTTTTTTCTTCTTCTTTCAGACAAAAGGAGATCCAAGAGAGGGATTCTGAAGAATTTTCAAGAATTTCTAGCATTGTTCCTCCTAGAAGAAAGCTTTCGACATCGTTGACAAATTTTAATTATTTGTTCTTTTTGGAATTCATTAGACGTAGCTTTGAAAATGATCTTTTAACAATAGAAATGCTCAAGTAAATCTAGAAAATAGATCTACAGAATTATTAGATAATAGATCTAGATAATAGATAGTTAATAGATCTACAAAACTTGCCTTCTAGTTCTAGTTTTGATTGATTTTCAAAATCCTTCCCAGTTGAGCTTCAAAAGTTATCTTTTTCTTGTGAATGTTTCCTCTTTTCGTCGCTTTTCCCATTCAACCAGTAGACACACTTTGAAAGAGATTCCGAAGGTTGAATGCTCTTCAAAAAAAGAAAAAAAACCCTTGAAGAGATACGCCCAAAATAAGCCCAATAGAAGAGGCCTTAAAGGGTCGGGCCCATGAGAAAAAGGAAGCATTTTAGAGGGATTGCTGTCTCCTTTTCCACTCCAGAAAAACTTTCTTGAACGGTTTGAACACCACATTGCGGCTGTTTATGATTTTTCTTATATCAATGGATTTCTGAGTTTCGCTTTATAAACAAATCATTTGTTGAGTCTTTTGAGCTGATATCGCACTTCAGAAAGTTGGCCTTTTGTGCAATGCTTCGTAAAACTTTTAAGTTATACTTGTTAATCAAATCTACTTAAGCCTTTGAAGCTGACTTCAATTTTGAGTGTAGTTTAGCTTGCAAGCTTGTACAGCACACCAGTTTTTTGACATTTTAGGCAATCTTAACCTTGCTGTACCAAGAGTTTATCTAAATTTAACCGACAACAAGACTTTACTACATAATTTGTATCAACAGTGTCGTCTTTTAAGTAGGACTTAAAACTTGCTTAGGTTTCAATCCTGTATTCACCTAAATTTATCAAAATAATCAAAATGTATTGTCGAGAATCAGAAGGCTGGTGAAACAGACAAATATCTCAAAAGATTTCAGTAAAGATTGTAAGATTACTGGAAGGTTTTTGTCCTCTTTACTAATAAAATTCTTTATTTTACTAATTCTTTCATTCAAACATAACCTTTACATCTTAAATTCAGTGTAAATTCAAAGTGCAGTGTAGCGCAAATATCAGGTCCTAAACTAAAGTATTATTCAAAGATAAAGAACAGAAAGATTGAAGTGAGAAGGGGATCGCTTAGTCTCTCATCCCCTTGTGTCCCGTCCCCCTCTTCATCCCTTTCCCTTTTCAGTTACCCCCTTTTCACCCTTTGAATTCTTTCTCTTTCTTTCTTTTCCCCATCAAATCCTCCTCAAAAGAGAGATCGATCTCCCCGTAAGGGGCCCAGAAAAGAGCAAAAATGTGTGCGGAAAAAAAGCGGCGAGAAAACGAGTGAAACAACAACCCTTTCCCCTTCCCCTCAACACTCACGTTTCTTCTTCAAGTGTTTATTTTTGCTATAGAATTCATTGGAGTTATTCCTTGAGCAATTGCCTTGTCTTGAACAAGAAGAACAACGAGTTTTATGGAAGTTTTGGATCCTTTTGAAGTAGTAGTTGATTTGATGAAGTGCTGAATGTTCCAACATGTGAAGTTTGGCCTGTCAGCGTTGAAATTCTTCGTTTTTACGTAACAAATATTGCTTTGAGTTCACTTTCTCTTGTTTTCCATGCGTAACCAAAGGTTCTCTAATTATAAGTGATCGTATTGAACAAAAGGGAAGATTAGCCATAGCAAATGTATTTGCTTTTTAGTTCCAATATTGTTATTGCGTTGTGTTCTTGTTTTATATCTTTTTCCTTGTTTTTTCACTCAAAGCAAAACCCAAACATTCAATGATCTTGAAAGGGCAATCTGTGGCTATTTTTAGCGAACCGCCTCAGGTCTCAGGCCACAGATTTCTTTTTGTCTTACTCAAAACAACCACAATTCACTCAAATCAAACCTTTTTCACAATTTCTATCGCAATTCGTAGTTTTCACCTGTTGTTCCAGACATATTATTCTTTTCTAAACATCTTTTTTCATCAACCATCAATTTCAGAGTTAAATACAAGATGTCAACACCCCCGACTTTTCAGGGAATCAGATTCAGACCAAGAGTTAGTTCATTTAGAGTTTCACCTTAATCTAAATTTCCAGGGCAAAGGCTTTGGCTTAGTTTGGCTTTGGCGTCCACAGCGAAAAGCCCCATCACCTGTTTTGGAGCAGAACTATCGATGTTGTTGCAATTTGTTTCCAGCAACGGTATAGCTTGTAAATTTTTAATAGAAATTAAAAATTTACTGTTTTAGATCTTCATCATTAGCGTAAGAAAAACCATAGTTGCATTCCATTTATATCGAGCAAATCGGCAGGCGATGGCCAATCGGCTAGGACCCTTGTATCATAGTCAGGAGTTCAAGGGTTCAATCCCGCCGGCTAGATTGTTGGTTCTTTTTTCCCATATTTTTTCCCTACATTTAGAGCTTACTAGGGAAAGGCACCAGGTCAAGGTTGCCTTTTAATACGAGGGCCACCGGGCTTTATAGAATCGGCTATGTTGATTCTAAATATGCTTTTACTTTTTCCAATAGACCTCTGTAACGCGATATATCTGGCAGCAAAGTTTAGGCTGATTTTTGGAGTCTTTATAAGTCTCTATTCCTTAAATAGAGAGCTAGTGGCGCAGTGGATAGTGTGCTCGCCTCCAGAACTTTTTTGCCCGGCTTCGAGCTCGCTTCCGGTATATTCTTTTTGAGAAAATGATTAGAAAATGTTTATGGCATCAGGATTGATTCATTTTGACTTTGATTAGCGGAAGAATGTTTAGAAATGATTTAGGAAGATAAATGCTTTGTGCATAAATGCGGGTTGTTGTTGCTGGAACATTGTTCACGGACTGCTTATGCAAAAATAGTGAAATTCAAAACGCGGAATGGAATTGAATTCCACAATCCACAAAATATTGGAATTCAATTCAAATTCACTAATTATTTTCTCAAAAAAAGCAAAAAGAATATACCGGGAGCGAGCTCGAAGGGAGGAAGAGAGAAGGAAGAGAAGGAAGAGAAGAGAAGGAAGAGAGACTTATAAGGACTCTAAAAATCAGCCTAGACTTTGCTCGATATCTCGCGTTACAGAGGTCCATTGAAAAAAGTAAAAGCATATTCAGAATCAGCATAGGGGGGATTCTATAATCTGTCGCTCTCGCATTAAAAGTTGACCTTGATCTGGTGCCTTTCCCTAGTTAGGGGTAGTGTTTGTGCATTGTTTCTACCACATTATTCTTGTAAATAACTTTTTTCTTTTAAAAAGAATCGTTCTTTAGCTCGGCTTCAAAGCTCTCACAATATTCCTCGCGCTTTTGATGTTGATCAGTTGGCCTTCGTACATTTACATGTTTTTCACTACCAATTTAATAACAATTCAACAGGTGAGCGGATATTTAAATTCAATTAAATTCAACAGGTATTTAAATTAATAAAAGATTCCTATCTAGTGGATTTTCCTAATATTCATGAGTGGCTTTGTGGCGTTGGGGATGATCGCGATTCAGACGATGGCACCATATTTCATTCAGCTTTATCTGATGATCTTGGTCAGTTTCACTGCTCGAAAACAATACAAACTAAGCTTTATATTTATTCGTATTTGAGCTTGCTTGCTAAATTAAAACAGTCACAATTCAGGCCTTCTCCACCGGTCTCGTCGTTGTCACAACGAATTTTCTGCTCTTACTGAATCTGTTTGCATATTTTGGGTAAGAAAATGAAAATTTCGAAGAAATTAGGATTATTTTGTATATATTGGGTTGGTGAATCGAAAACTGCCGGACTTTGAACTAAAATTTATTCAACATAAAACCATAAATTCATTCCAAATAATTTCCATTATTGTTGATGACTTCTGCCCATTCTACAGGCAATTTGTGGATTCCTCTTTTCTAGTAGGATTTTGGTTTTGAATCGAAAAACTTTCAAAGCAAATTTTTGACTGCTTCTTCCGAATCGAAGTGTTCTCCCGCAAGCTCATTACTCATGGTCCGGAATAAATAGTAATCAGAAGGGGCAAGGTCCGGACTGTATGGGGGATGTGCCAAAAGTTCCCAACCAAGGCTGTTTATTTTAGAGCTAGTCAGTTTTGCAATGACAAAGAATGGTAGATTCAAATTAAAAGAAAGAAAATGGAATTTTATTGAAAAATTAAGAACAAATTGAAGTGAAAATATTGGGTTGGTGGATTGAAAACTGCCGGACTTTGAACTAAAATTTCTACAGCATAAAACCATCAATTCATTCCAAATAATTTCCATTATTATTGACGAATTCTGCCCATTTTACAGGCAATTTGCGGATTCCTCTTTCGTAGTAGGATTTTGGTTTGTGTGTGAGACAGGTGTGAGACTCAAAAATGGAGGACTGGAGATGTCCCAGTTTGAGCACTTTCTTCAAAAGAAACCCATTTTGGTGTCAATAGAAAAGTTGTAGAGAATCAAAAATTAGGCTTATAGCCAAATTTCCAAAAAGATACACTTAGTAGTTTCGCTTAAAATGCAAGTTTTGTGAAAATTTCGTAAATTTGGCATTTCTTGAAAACCAGTTTTTGAATTGTTCTGAAAATTTGGATATAAGCTTGATTTTTGATTCTCTACAACTTTTCCATTGACACCAAAATGGGTTTCTTTTGAAGAAAGTGCTCAAACTGTGACTTATGACAATAGCCCGCAGTTTTCAATTCACCAACTCAATATCTTTCAAATTAAAGCCTTTCAGTGACTCTTACGAGGCTCGTTTCCAAATCAAACGAATCATGGGACTGAATGGATATCAGATCACCGATCATGTCATGGGATACATGTTGTTAGGTTAGATTTAATGAAATTTTCTTAAAAACAAAATAAAAACATATTTAGGATTGTTTTTCTTCATCTTTCTTTACTTGATAATCGCGATTTGGCAGTTGAAACTCGTGTACTCATTTCACTTGTTTGTTTGGTGAGTCGGTGATAAAACCAACATCAAAATTTACTGAAAATTTGATTGAAGTTATAAAGCTGAAATATTGCTGAAATATTTTCAATTGCTGAAATTAATTGCTGAAATATTTTCAAGAACTTTGAATTTTAGCGATCGTCAATTGGAAATGGAGGAGAACGGTCGGAAAAGAACGGAAATAAGAGGAATTGAAGAAAGCGAAGTACCGGTCAGTGATGGGCATTTCGAGGGGAACAGCGAGAAAATATGAACTATGCTAGTACCAGGGTTGTTTCCAAAGTAATTTTTCCGGACAATGCAAGGCCAGACTAGAAGCTAGGTTCAGATTTGGCTTGGCTATATAAAAGTCCCTGGGCTTGCCAAGAACCAGATCTGGAACTGGATTCTTCTTTTGGGCTCGGACCTGACCAATCAGGTTGGCCGAAAAATCTTGTCCGCTTTTTTAAAGGTTACTTTTTGGAAATGAATAATGAACCAATCAATCTATGGTTTATTTTATTAGAAAGTACTATTATTTATTTACAAATTGTTCTTTAAGAAATTCTGAAAAGCTCGCGTTAGTTCATTTTTTTAAAGATTTGAAGTCGAGCAGTCAAAAAAATGAAACTCAAAGTTCCGATTTGAGTACTTTTTATCACAGAAGCCTATTTTGGTGTCAAAAGACAAAAGATAGAGAATGAAAAGTTAGGTAGATCCTTTAGACAAATTTTCACAACATTTCACCAAGCTGTTTTCATTCTATGTCCATTGTAAGGATTTTAGGAAAAACAAGAACTCCTCTTCGAATTTCCTTCAAAGCAGACTCAAATTTGCCTAAAAATGAGCTATTAGGTTGGCAACTTAATAATGACGCGTTAATGTAACAAATCATTTATTCAAAAAACACAAAAGAAGAGCTTCAATTCGAAAGGTATTCTCCATTAGTATCTATGACTTCTTCCCATCTTCTGCGCAAATCCCGGATCCCATCCTCGAAGAACTTTGGAGTTTTTGAGGCGAAGTAGTCATTCACGCTTTTATGACCTGGCATGTCATCGAACTTTTCTCCCTCCGAAAGTGCTTCAGCGACCGAAACAAAAGTAATCTGAAGGGCCAGATCAGGTGAATAAGGCGCGTGGGGCAAAACTTTCCAGCCAGTCCTCGATTTTCTTATAAGTGATCTTTGCAGTGTGAGGTTTTGCGTTGTCGTGGAAAAATCTGACTCTCTCCGGTTTTAGCCCCATTTCTTCAAAGACTCGTTAACTCTCTTATTGCTTCGAATAAAGTCAGCATCGACGGTTTGACCAGGTTTCAGCACTTCATAATGCACCAATCCCTTGAAGTTCCACCAGCAACAGAGCATTATCTTCTTCCCATGGATATCAGGTTTGGGAGTGGTTTGCGGGGTCTGCCCAGTAGATAGCCATTGTTTTTGCGTTTAACGTTCTCCTAGTTGTCCACGTTTCGTCGAAGTCAAAACCCTGTGAAAAGTCGTTTGATTTACATTTTTGTAGCAAAATTGAGGCGACATTGACACGGGCCATTTTGTTGCTTTGGGTCAGTTCGTGAGGAACCCATTTTCCAACTCGATTCTTTTTCCCAAGTTTGTATAAATAGTTTTCGATTGTCGTATGGGATACTTAAAATATTTCTGCCAACTCACGGACCGTGAGTGTTGGGCAATCTTCAATTAAGGCGAGCAAGTCATCATCGACCACTTCTGGAGGATGTCCTTGGTGTGGCTCGTCTACGAGGCTTTCATCGCCGCCTTGGAATCTTTGAAACCATCGTTGACATTGCCTAATGTTTATACTTTTCTCTCCAAAAACAGTGATGATCGTGCGATGAGATTCAGCTGGTGATTTTCCTTGTTTAAAATCGTAGAACAATGCAGCTCGAATACGGAATTTTTTTGTCCTCCATTTTTGCCAAAAGCAAATGTGAAACTTGGGCACTAATGTTATTTATGCAGACATCTTTCTTTGTATATTGCAAAAAGAGGGAAGAAACGGCGCTTGAAATTACAAACAACATGTTAAGTAGTCACGCGTCATTATTAAGTTGCCAACCTAATATATGAAATAATTAATCTTTTTTATTTAAAGTAAATCACAAGTTGATTGGTTATTTATTCATTTACCAGCAGTTTTCAGCTGCTAACGCAGTTGAAAACTAGTTCGGGTTGAGGTCTCACGTAAATTTTTTTAATCCTTGTTGTCGTGCCAAACGATAATCATATTGTCTTCGTAAGCAGGAATCTTTTCGGCTAATGCCGCTTTTTCTGCTGGACAGTTGAGGTTGAACGTAGTCACTTATTGCATTTGTCAACGCGCTTGACATTTATCAACGCTTTAAGCGCGCTCTAACCACTCGGCCATCTGCGCGCGGAGGGGAATTTAGGCAACATTGGGCTCGGCTAGTTTTGCAGTTTTTGGACTTTTTAAAAAAATTGGTTTGATGGATTCTCTTGAATTTTTTTGGGGCGAACAGCATAAAATTTTCCATCAAACAAAAAAACTGCATCTCGAAATTAGGTCTGGGCGTCGAGAGAAGTGCTTGGGAAAAACAGACAGACAGACAGACGTCTCTTCTGCTTTATATATAGTAGATAAACGAAAATTTCAAAAAGTGTACAAGACTTTCCGGGCAAACTAATAGCTTGGCTTAGTCTGGCTCACAAAGTCTTAGGCCCAGGCGAAGCAATACCTAGACCTAGCTTTACCTGAACTTACTCTGTCCTAACATTGGTTGACCTTGACCTGGCTTTGCTTTGAGCTTGCCAGAGTCAGAAATGAACCTGGCAGAAGCATTCTTGGACTATTCCGGTTGGAAAAATCCTGTCTAAGATAAAATCATTAATTACTATATTACCTATTTCAGCTCAATCGACACCCCACCCCATATGTCGTTTGATCGATTTGCCTACCTCAGCACTTTCCCCCGTCACTCCACAAATGAATTCTCTTCTTTTTTTTGCCTTCTCTTTCTCTTGTCTGTACATAGTTGTACATTGATGTTCACTTTATAAATGAATAAGCAAAATAAAATTTAATGAATATAAAGCGCTATTCTTTTTAAAATTTACAATATCGTCTTGGGATTGATTTCCCGGCAATACCAAGACGAGGACCCATGCAATTATCCTGAAAATTATTTAAATTCAATCTTTCTTTTTTTTTTAAACGAACCCTCAAAACAGCTCCTCCATCCTCTAATAATCTGATCTCATCCGGCAATTCTATTCGATGCTTTCTCAAAGCTCTGATCAATTCGGGTTTCAACTCGAGCTTTAACAAGCGGTAATCATTATAGTAATTTCTCAGCACAAATAAAAGAGTGCTTTTTCTTTTTAATACCTAAAACTAATAAGTTTTGCAAATTTTCTCCACAAACTTGTTTCTTCCATTTCTTTGCCGTTGTCGTGTCTCTTATTCCCTTGACGTCTTTGTTGCCTTTGTTAGAGTTAACGAATTTCTCGCGGATTAGATGAGTTACCTGAATAATCTAGGGATGAAATTCAAATTGGCACTGACAAATTCTGAGTTTAATGAGTTTCGAACTTGTAAAATATAAAAATTTCCAATCCTAGCCACTGAATTTTGCAATAAAACGCAATCCGTCTTCAAAAGATTTTCTAAAAGTTGTTTTCTTGAAGAATCTATTGTAATCTGAATGTTTTGTATGAAAACGACTAAATGAAAACGTCTAGTTCCAAGTTGAAATCTGATCGAAGTCATCAAATGAATTAAAAAGTCTAAAAGAGATAGTAGGGTAGTTTCTTCTCTGTACAACTTCAATTTACAATAAGAAAAAAAAAAAAAAAAGGGGAACTCCTAAAACATTGCTGGTCCTTTAGCCGTTTCACTGCAAACTACATTGCTACTTTGGGAATTGAAAAGAAGGAAAAGAAAAGAAAAAAAAAAAGAAAAAAAAAAAAAGGGTAATAAAGATAGACCCTAGACTGCCCTCCTCTTTTTCCCTCCAAAGTGCAGAAAATGACCTACCCAATGTGCAATCTTTGAAGGAACTCCTCTCCTCACAAAAATTCGTTCAAATTGACGGGCTGTCGATTTTCGATCCGTCGTTTGGAACACAACCTCAACGTTGCCATGTGGCAGCGATTTCCGGTTTTCGTACACGTACCTCAAATAAATAATGGATTCGGAAGAAAAAGAGAGATTTGACAGACGATTATTGGGCCATTGTAAATAAGTTTTTTTAAGAGGTTCCAAAGATTGAGAGGTCATTTTTATGCTTCAATAGAACTAAAATTTGACTCGATTTTTTTCTAAAACATGGATGTTTTTAAAAAGAAATTGATTCACTTGTCTGAAGATCATGAAAAAGAATGCTAAAATTACCAAAAAGATGGTTGAATGTGTCGAAGTAAATCCGTCCATATTCTTTTCTTTTCAGCTTTTTCATTCAGTAATCGATTTGTCCAGGCGGCAAATTGATGAATGCCCATCCTTTTTGGGCACAAATGTTTTTCCCTAAGAGTTTTTTTTGTATTTTTTCTCGGAAAGCCTAGAAAGTTGCCGGATCATAAATCTTTTATGACCAATATAAAGTACTGGACAATGAAATATGATATTTGAAAAAAGTTCGTCACTTTCGCGCGTCTGTAACTCCATTGTCTTTAAGTTTAAACCATTAGTGTTATCGAATCTCTCTTTTGGGGATGAGAGGGATTATGAACTGAGAAATTCCCTGATCATCCATTACGATGAAGATATTGATTGAGATTATTGGGGAGAAGAGGAAGGGATTCTTGCGATCTCGATCAACAAAAGGGAAGAAGGGTAAAGTTGAGTCGTGTGATTTGATCAGTAGATGAGTTCAACGATTGAGTTAGTCGAGTTAACAGTATCAATAAAAGTAAAGGTTAGTTTGTTGCTTAAATTCTCTAAATCAGTGCTTTAAAAGGTTTTCAGTTAACCTTTTAAAGCCAAACTTATAGCCAAACTAAACTTCTGAAGTTGTTGGAAAAATGCGAATGAGATTCTGCTTTGTAAAACGTAGATACTAGAAACGTAGAATAGGGATGGGGTACTATTACAGTATTTACGGTAGTTAGATATTTTTAAAGCCTTTCAACTTTGAACTATCGCAATCTTTACTCTAGTTTTCATCGAATCTATCTACGGAACTGGACAATGAAATATCATATTTGAAAAACGATCGTCACTGTAACTCCGTCTTTGAGTTTAAACTATTAGTGTTATACATTTTCTGAAAGCTCTTTTCAACGGCTACACAATGGTAATATTAATATTTACAAATGCGATAAAGACAAGGGAGTTACAGACGCGAAAGTGACGATCGTTTTTCAAATATGATATTTCATTGTCCAGTAGTGTACGTGTTAGATTCAGGATAATGCTAAAGATGTTTTGAGGTGAAAAGAAAAACACAAGGAAAATTTCAATGAATGAGAATTATTTTAAAACTGCTTCTGATGTGGAAGCCAACTTTAAACCAAATTCCTTTTTCACTCACTTGCACAAATATCCGTACATCGAGACAAATCTCTCGATTGGATCACGAAGAACGATCAGTGCTGGATGATTCCCTCTCATTTTCCAATTTAACTTCTTTTCCGGGATCTCATTGTACCAGTTATCCTTGACACAAATACTGAAATATTTTTTTGAAAAACCTTTAGTCTAAACAAACTTTTTTTGTTTTTCTATAAGTATCCTTTCCGGGAGTCCACGTTGTTTTCTCACCAAGTCACAAAGAACGAGATTCACTGTTGAAGACATACTCTTTGGGATGTCAATTGTATGAAAACCGGCAGCATAGTGGTGAAGCTAGATGGGTTTTGAATCTTTAATCAAACTCTCAGTTTTATCAATCTTGAATCAATCAAACTCTCAGTTTTATTCACAAGTTTGCCTAAATGATATCAGAATTTTACGCTGATTCCAATTCTGCTATTGGCTTTTGCCAAATGATTCGGAAACGCAAAGAATCTGATAAAGTTTGAGATCAAACTTTATCAGATTTGAGTTTGAGATCAAATTATAGAGGTCAATCCCTATATAAGGCTTCTTGCACCGTCTTGAAACGCGAGCTTGTGATGTAGTGGATAAGAGTCTTGTTTACAAAACGAGCTATCAAAGCTAAACGAGCTATTATTCTGCTCGGATTCAATCCCTACCCTTTATTTTCATTTTATTTTGATGTTTAACCGCTCGAATTTGCTCTATTTTAACTTATAACTTATAAAGTGATATCTTTTAATTGATAACAAACAAAATAACAAAAAAATTAACACACATGGCAGCAATCTATAAAGTGAATCAATGAAATGACCTATTTTTTAAAACTACTGTAATCTAATTGACAGTTTTCATTCGATCAACTAAATTTTTATATGATTCTCTGGGTTTTATCATTCCTCATCGAATGATAACATAATTTAGCTGATCGAATTACGGTAATTTTGCCTGAAATAGATGCCTTTTAGAATACGGATTAATCTAGTAAAAGCTGAATTGGGAAAATTGAAAGTTTAGCTAAGAAAATTTTTGTACAAACTCACTCGATACCAGCGACTCTCAAACGATCGACTCTGTGGCCCGAGGGGTAAAACATCGGTCAGCTCAACTCCTTGCACATTAAAAATACTTAAAATTAATAAAACTAATCTATAGATAAATAAAGAATACATAGAATTTGAGAACTTTCGAAAGCGCGCAAGCTAAAGGTCAGTTTTCCTTTTTATAGCATGAAACTTTTCAAGAGCAGGCATCGATGGCATTTCGATTCACCGTCGAGACTAGGCTAAGTGCTTTTTGTTGAGAGAAGGTTTCAATGATATGTATAAAAAAGATCTGAATTGAATTGATTTATTTTAATTTTATTTATGAATTGTGTCCAAAAACTGTGGAGGTTCGGGTTTCCGGATTGTTGAAAACTGTTTCTTTAAAAAGTCATCAGGTTTAAATGAGATAACTGGTACAATCATTTTTCTTGTGAAATTTCAAAATTTGATATGACAAGGATGTAAATTAGAAAGAAAAATAGGAAATTATAATAAAAAAGAAAAAAAGTTAGTTCTGTGGCTTGTTGTTTGTTGCTTCTGGAAGTGAACGTGTTTTCGCTTTTCCCCTGTGAGCTTTCTTTCTTACACAAAATTTTAGATGCATCATTTACTTCGTTTAGCTAATAAATTAGCCAAGTGTTTACTGAGAATTAGTTAAACATTGTTGTGCTGATAATTCTAGCTATATAGCTATAGCTTGCAAGAAGGAGTGCTTATTCTTAACCCATTCGAAACCGAAGCGTTTTTTCTTTTTTTCGTCTGCGGACCAAGCCCTTTTTTGACATTTTTGACTCCGAAGCAGTTTATCCAGATGGTTGGAAAGATTTAAGAGAGTCTCCTACACCATTTATTTTTGATGAAGAACGATTTGGATTTGACTTCAGTACTTTTCAAGATCCTATCGATTATTATTCTTATTTTATCGACGACAAATTAATCAATATGTTAGTAGGCGAATCTAATAAACATGGAAAAAGGAAAACAAACTGGCAGGATTTCGATGCAAAATCTTTCAAGCTCTTCCTGGCTCTGTATCTTCAAATGGGAATCGTCAAATTACCGAGGATTCGTGACTACTGGAGTAGCAAGCCTGGATTAGGAGGATTTTCCCACATTACGTCAAGAGCAAAATTTGAATCTATTCTTCGAAACTTGCGCTTTTGTGATAATGAACTGGATTTTGCAGGAGATCAGCTTTATAAGATTAGAGCTATTATGGAACATTTCAATGCAAAACCAGAGGCTGCATTGATTCCGGGTAAATATGACACATCTTTTTTGCCCACGTAATTTGTAGATCTGTTACAATTGGAATATACATGTAATGCTGAAAAACAGCAAAAAAAACCAATTAATTGAATGAAAATAGCTCAATTAGCGCTGCAGCGAATAATCGCTGCAGCGGTCCGTTCCGGAGTTTTTGCTGCAGCGATTATTCGCTGCAGAAGTTTCGAATGGGTTAAACAAGTGGTATTATTGAATCGATTTCTGAATCCAAATAACTCATTTAGCTAGAAAATCCTTTGTCTTTTTGTTAAAATTCAAAACAATACTTGTAAGTATTTCTCTTTCTTGTGTAATTCTTTGAAATTTTCGCGTTTCTCATGGAAATCCAATGAAATGATCAACGATTGATCTTGCTGAAATATCAAAAAGTGCATCAAAAAAGTTCTTTTTGTATAATTATAAATACAATTATTGTCCTTTAGAGGAAACTTTTCAAATCAAAATTTCAAAAACAAAACCGGTTTCTCTTATTATAGCTGGACCTATCCTGTGCTCTTTTTTCGTCGATTTTCTTGGAAATGACAGGGGAACATCTCACATGACTGAGTCACCTTTTTTTGAAATAAAATAAAAGGAAAAAGTAAAGGAAGGCGTTTATTAAAAAGTTATTGATATTTTTGAATTGTATTTGGCTTAGTTTTTGTTTTTTTTTAATTTGAAAAACCTTTAAATCGTTGAACTTGACAGAAAAACCTCCCGCTTTTTGTCTTGATCATTTTCTCGAAGCATTAAAACCCCCATAAAACAATCAATTTCATTTTCAATATTGAAAACATTTTCTATTCATTACTCATCTTTAATTGAATATTTAAAATTTCTCTTCTTTTCAGTAAAATGTCAAAATTCCGGGTTCCAACTTGGTTCTGGCGGCCACGAAATAAACCAGCATTCCCTGTTCTAAAAGATAATTACAAATGCTTTAATAAGCTACTATCACCAGATGTGAGTTGATTTTAAGCTAACTTTAAAATACTTTCTTTAGAAAGCTTTTCGTTTCATCAATTTCCTCGAATTGAGTCTTTTTCTGGGTCTTCTTTTGAATTTTCTTATGTATTCCACACCAAAAACGAGTCATTTGAATGACAATGAGGTTTTCGATCGATTACTTCAACAGGTTTGTGAATCCTGAAGTTAAAACAAAACAAAATTTACTTAAGAAGACTTAAACAGTTGAGAAATGATGGTAAAAAGAGTTTTTGATGCGTTTATTTATTGCTCAGGAAAGCAAAACAAAGAAAATCCAAGAAGTTTTATGTAAACGTAGATTACTATTACCACCTAGGGTACATCTTGTACTTGCCTACTTAAGCTTCGTACTTGTCTAATCTGTTAAATACGATGATACTATACGATGGCCCAGCTCAAGGACCTTGTACTAGCAGTCGTTTAGACTAGTAGTATTAGGTTGGCAAGAAAGTTCGTAGAAAAAGTTTGCACGGTGAGCCAAACCAATGAGTACCTTTGTTACCAATGGATTACGGTAGCTTTTCCCAGACTTTTTTCCCAAATCACTTACTTGGCATGTTAATTGACATTGGTAGCATTGTGCGAGTTGTTGCTGGCAAACGGGCTGGCATTGCTGCTGGCACTGACACTGCTGTAGAGGGTTGGTGATCGGAGCGAAAGTCATCTGAAAGATGAAACTAAGGTTGGAAAGAAAGTTCGTAGAAAAAGTTTGCACGGTGATTTCTCAAAGACCAAACCATCAATTCTTCCCAGATTTCTGGATAAACTTGACTATATTTCAAAAAGTTTTTGACAAAAAAAAATCAGAGTGGGCTTCAGATAAAAAAATAAAAGATTCTTCTGCTGAAGTGACTTGACTTCACTTTTTGAGTGACCAGCCTTTAGACAAGTTTTTAATGGATTAATGGATAGGCAATGGGTCCCATTCAAAACCCCAAATCAAGTACTTAAAATAGGGAAAATTTGTGATTGAGGCGAATTTTATCTAATGCTTTAACTTTTCAGAAGTTAGTTAGAAGTTAAAACACTCGTAGCCGAGAAGATGAAACCAAAAAATTATTTTTATAAAATACAGCTTTTATGTAAAAAATTTTTGGCCAAAAATAGAGATTATAGAGCGTATGGCTCATTTATGCTAGCTTTATCTCATAAGAAATCGTTTTTCTGGTGCAAAAAAGTGAGCTGAATTTAAGCTCGAAAATAATAGTCTTTCAAAATCTCTAAAATTTTAAGGGAAAGTTGCACTCATTTTTTACGAGTAATTTCTTGAAGACGACTTGTAAATAATAGAACAAAGTGTTCTTAAATTGGTGGATTGGTTTTTTTAGGATATTCCAGTCAAACTTTTGCTACGAACTTTCTTTCCAACCTAATAGTTTCCCCAAAGTAAAGCTACAGCCAAGTAAATCTACTGTATAAAGGTATCAAAAAGCAAATATAAGATATGATATTTGAAAGAGCTATAGGTTAGACTATAATTTTTAACGTTTTTTAGACTATAGCTTTTAACATCCCGTACCTGTGGAGTTTCCCCTCAACTTCAGGTTCTCTTCATCGGAATCCACATCATCGCCACCACTTTCGCCATTTATGCTAGTTACAATTTGAAGCCATTCGTCATGCAAATTTATATGTTATTTGCGGTAAGTTAAATCATTTTTCAAATTTTTAAAAGCCTTTCCAGACTCCATACTTTTCATTGGCCATCTCCTTTTGTGCTGTATTGTTCGTCGAGTTGACAGTTTTTATATAGTTGGTGGCAAAAATAGATTCATTTTTAAAGTTACCTATAGTTTATTGATTCAAAGAACCCAAATTTAGTTCTGACGATCATAAAGATTTCGATCGACTTCTCGTTGATCTTGGAAATGTGGCGGGGAAAGATTTGAACAGTCGAGTAGATTGTGAGTTGAAAACAAAATATCAGTAATGATAAAATGAACATTTTGACGTTTGCTTATGATGGGAAATTTCCTAAATTTCCAAAGCTAGCTTGTTCAACCTGTTACCTGTTTCATCAATTTCTAAACCAAATTCAGGGCTTTTGGCATGGGTGGCTTTCATCGGAGCCGTCCTCATTTGGCAGCTGATAACGACGTTCTCTTTCTACAATTACATAAGGTACAATTACATAATAATTATTACATTTGCTATTAACATGATTGCTTGAAAAAGCTAACAAGATATAAGATTTACGAATACTATATTGATTCTAATAGAAGACCAGTCTTCAATAGTAGACCACCGCGTAACTCATCAAAATCGGAACGTTTTATGACTTCTTTTTAGATATAAAGTTATAGATATGGCTCCAGATAGATGTATTTTAGCTTCAACAGTAAAATTGAAAGCGTAGTTTTTGAAAAAAAATTAGAAAACAATTTTTTGAAAAAATTTTATATGGTCCCCTACATGGATTTTTGCTCAAAACATGCCAAAAAAACGTGTTTAAAAGTGAAATTATTTCCTTACCTAGATCCCATAGAAAAGCTCGCAAAAAAATCCATCCAAAAAATCCAAATGATGGATTTTTTTGCGAGATTTTCTATGTGATCTAGGTAAGGAAATAATTTCACTTTTAAATACGTTTTTGGCACGTTTTGAGCTAAGGCCTATCGTTTAAAATAGTTTTTAGATGTTTTTACATTTTTGATTTATGTGGTACTTTTTAGGCCACCGATTTTGAGTGGTTTAAAAATAGAAGACCATGGTCTTCTATTAGAATAAATACGGTAACTTTGATCTATCCCCAGGAGGTCAAAAGGGTAATGAAGCTGATGAAGTTGCTGGATTTATGGTTAACTGGGGTGGAAAAGCTGGTTTTTCACTGACCTAGTTATAAACGTTTAAGAAATGAAAAAGAACAAGAAAAAGAAACTCAAAACGCATCCTTTCTGGTACACTAAGCTCAATGGTTAGAGCAAATGTCCGGGAAGTAAAAGGTCGAGGGTTCAATCTCTTCTTCGCAAATCTACCATTCCTTCAACTTCAGTGCTAGTGTGTCAAAAAGGATTTATTTTCGATTTCGAGCACATCAAGCACAGATCAAAGATTGATATTGATATTCAGAGATCGTCAAATCGAGATTGAAGAACGTCAAATTGTTACGCCAAATCATCTCCAATCGATCGATTTAGAGAAGAAATCATTTGAGATTTACACATTGGTTTGATTTTTGGTTCATTCCTGAATCACAAGACAAAATTTAGCCTCCACCTCCGCCATATGTTGAGTGTTGATTGTTTGACACTCAAGAGATAACCGATCTTCTTCTGTAAACAATAAATCGTTATGCTAAAAATATGAAAGACAAATAGATAAGTACTTTTTTGTGAGAAAGGAAGATAAATGACAACTAAAAGTTATCACATTTTATAAGAAAAGAAAAGAAAAGCTGTTTTAAACGCATTATGGCTTGCTTTGTGACCTTTTTTGTGTGCTCGAAATGAAAACGCACCCTTTCTGTGCATTCAATTTGGGGCAACTGAGACGAACAGTGCTTGCATATGCCTTTTCGAATGTATTTTGTGTTTAAAAGTTGAAATGCACCAATTCTAGTGCACTTAATCCTGCATTTGTCTCCAAAGACAGTAACTTAAAGTAACAAGAGTGTGCCAGACAAAGTACAGACAGACAGACAAAGTACAGACAAAATTTAGACACAAAGTCCATCAAAACTATAATCCTAATCGTAATCCTTACCATACTATTTGGGCAAACAGCAAAGATACTTTCAGATCTAAATTCATCCCCTTTACAACCCACGCCTCAACATTTTTGACCACCTCAAATCTTTGAGATCTCTGTTTATTCTTGCGGGATTTGTGACGCTTTTCTCAAGTGAATCAGAATCAGTTACTGAAATTTTGTGGTTAAGAGAGAAATGAGTAAACAAATAGAAAAAAATGAAGAAAAGCTCGATCATGAGATCTCAGAAGAGAGAGATTTTTGAGATATCGTGTTCATTTGTTGCTAGTCGAGTTATCAAGATCGATTGCATCAATTCAAATCAGCAATTCAATTCTTGTTTCCGAATCTTTCCTATCTTTGGTCTTTTGTAGCCAACTTAGCATCAACTTCTTTTTGGATAAAGTTTTAAAGTCTTGATAGTCTTGGCCTTAAAGTTTTAAAGTCTTGATATCAAGATTGTTCTCATTTTTTCTGGGCCCAGGCTAAAAGTCAGATCTTAGCCTGACCAAGAAAAGATGAAGAAAGGCTCGATCAGGAGATCTCAGAAGAGATCCTGGTTTTGTCAGGCCTGAGTCCTTGGGCCTGGCTTACCTACTGGTTCTAAAGTCTTTTCCCGTCAGTTGGAATATTTCGGACTAATTCTAGCAGTTAAAATTTCAGGCAAAATGTTTCCAACTTGGTTATTTCGACCACGTCGAGTTGCTCAATTCAGAACTCCAGTAAGAGCGGAGAACTATCGAATTTGTTGCTCTGTTGTGCCGACAAAGGTTAGTGTTTTAGACTCATTTAGACAAACAAATAGCTTTACAAGCTTTACAAGTACAAAAACCCCAAGGTTCTTTCATTCTCAACCTTTAGCCAATGTTCCGTTTCTTTCACTACATCCATCTTCTTGTCATTCTTCTTGCTCTCACTTATCTCATCGTCAACCGCTTTGTTTTCACGAATCCAAATGAAAGACTGAACAATTACTTCACGAAATGGGTAAGCACAATTATTCTAATGAAAAGAGTTCAACTTTCAGTTAATCATTTTGATCTACGTCTCGATTACAAGTGTTATTGGGATCATCTCGGCTCATTGCCATAAACCGATCTTCATCCAGATTCATTGGATTTTGATGGTAACTTATTTTGGCTATACTTGGGATAAACATGGGTTATTTTAGAGTTTCTACTTGTTCCCTTCGTTGGTCATCAGTCTTTTTCTGGCCAGCATCTCGTTTTTGTCTTTCATGTTTGTTTAATAATCCTTTACTTTGTTGATCAGACTTTGAAGATCAAATTTTCAGCCCTCACATCGGCGAATTCTTCATGAGAGCTTTCAGCGATTCAGTCGGCATCAACATTCGTCCACAGAAACAAGAGGATGTTTTGAGTGAGATTTTGAACAACTTCTTTTCATCTTTATTTCAGAAATCTTCATCTTCATGACCTTTGCCGCGGTCACTTTCATCCTACAACTGCTGCTCTCTAGCTCGTACTTTCAGTACATCAAGTGTGCTTCAATTTGGATTTTATCATATAAAAAAAAAGAATAAAACCAAGAATGGCAAGATTTTAGTCTGTGTAAAAAAGATATAGTTAAACTAAGAATTAAATTAAGTTTAGTATTGATTTCAAGCTAAAGCTGCTTCAAGCTAAAGCTCAAGGTGCCAAGCATTGAAATTTCGAAAAGAAAGGAGGGTTTTGGGTTTTTAGTTTTAGCTTTTTAAGGTTTTTAAGGTTTTTGGATAATTTTTTAAAACAATGAAATCATAAATTTTCACATTACAGGGAACGTCAATTGGAGATCGAAATGAACGAAGCTGAATTGGAGAATGGATCACCGTTGAGGAAAAAAGACTCAGAAAAGTACAAGATCCTCTCGATGAACTGAAGAAAAGATTTAAAGTTGAATTTTGATAAATTTTTAAGCAAATTCATTTGTACATTTTCAGAAATTTAAGAGCTGACTCAGAAAGTCATCAAATTTTTGGGCACAGAAAAGCAAAATAAAATTTAATCACAAAACTTTTTGCAGGCTCTGATAAGGTGTTTGTTCGGCGGAGGGATTGAAGTTATCAGTGAAAAATTGGTAAGCAAAATTTCAAAGTCAAGTGTTGACTATCGATTTTATTTGATTTCTAAAAGGCTTGCTTGAAAATATTTTCTGAAAATGGTTTTGATGTGGTTGTGGAGGCCAAAAGTGAAGCCGACAAAGAGTCCCATTCAGAAGAAATATTATCGATGCTGTTGTCCGTGTTTCTCGGGAGTGGTTCGTTTTTGATAGCTTTATTATCCAAATGATTGTGATGATTCAAGAATTCACTTCCTTTCTTCTTCCCCCTTGTCTTTCATTCTTTCTCTTGGCAAGTTAAAGTACCAGATAGCTCAATGGTTGCCCGGGAAGTAAAAGGTCGAGGGTTCAATCTCTTCTTCGGAAATCTACCATTCCTTCAACTTCTTTATTACTATAATCCTTAAAGTTATCACAACGTAGTCGAAGTTTGCTTGAATCTCAACTACAAAGATTCGAATTTCGTTTAAAACTTGACTAGATTATGTAAAAGCTAATAAAAAGTGCATTTTCTTGCGCATTCTAAATTTGTTTAAATCTTATAAGAGCGTAGAACACTTAACGAATACTAATTTTCAATCTACTTTATATAAAGAGACTAAGAGACTGTAAGACGTCTGTCTGTCTGTGCTCACTACTCCTCCGCGCCCAGTAGGCCCTTTCAAATGATTTATAATTAGTTTGGCTTAGAATTTCATGTAGTTGTGCGAAATGTTTTTAAATTTTTAAAAAATCAGAAGTGCCGACGCGGGCGGGAGATTGTGTGGGTTAGAGACAAGTGCTCTCGCACTGCGCTATACATAAAGAACATGGCCGAGTGGTTAACGCGCACGTCTTTCAAACGAACGGAAGGGAGAGGTCGCGGGTTCGCCTCCTCTCGCCACCAATTCTTTTGCTTTTTGCTTCAAAATTTTTTATTGCAGAGCAGCGGCAAAGCTTCTGGTAAGAGAATAAAAAGAAAAGCAATTCTGCGAACAATTAGAACAATCAAACACAATCGAAAGAAGCAATGAAACTGATACACTTTAGAATGAATTGGACTTATATTTAGGTATTAACTAGTTAAAAGAAATTGGATTTCAATAGAAATTATATCACTTGCCTTGTTTAGTGGTGTTTTCGCATCTTCAAATACCTTGAATTCATCATAACCGCTCTTCTGGAGGCCTTACTGATCACTTCCTGGGTGAAAGAGGCCAATGCGATGCTCGCCTTTCAAAAGGATATGCTATTTGACTATGTTAGTTTGAGATTCTTGGACTGGCTTTAACTTTGCCTTGGTCTTTGTCAAAGGTACAAAACAAAACAGTCAACTTTCCAGCTTTTCATTTGGAGCATCGTTCTCTTCTCCCAATTTTTATCGATCATTTCGATTCACTCATTGCGCCCGATTTTTATTCAATTCTACATGGTTTTAGCGGTTCGAAAATAAGCTTTGCATTTGGTGAAGAATTAAAATTCAGAACTTTTTGCTCTCAGCTACAGTTGTCGGACTGTTGATTGTTATGTATGGTGCAGGGAAATTTCTGATGCAAGTTTGAAAGCATATAATTGAAAGCAGAAAAGCAGTTCTTTGAATCTTTAATAACTATAAGAAAAATCTAACAATTTCAAGATTCCAGATCATCTGTGAACCCATTCTATGTAGTCTATTTCCACGATAAAACGACAGCAATTGGTAGGTGTTATTCAAAAAAACAATGATTGATTATTTCTAGAAATTTTTCTCGGTTCATTCCTTGCTTTTCTGTATTTGATTTGGCAGATGACGCTAACCTACACGTACTATCGATGGGTGAGGTGAGGAAAACTGGCTAGCTGCTGCTGCTACTCATTAGATGCGCCAAGTCTTTCTCTGTCGATTCTTCCAAAAGCCATTTAAATTGAACAGCCCAACACCTAAAATCTAGAAACTAGCCACAAGATAGAGCTATAAAACATAGATCTAAAATCTGGAAAGATAGGCTATCAAACATTTGATATTCCCATTAGCAATCTAACTTTGAGCTCAAATATCTTTGTGTTGGGCTGTTCAATTTATCATTAGATGGTATCATTAGATGCGCCAAGTCTTTCTCTGTCGATTCGTCCAAAAGCCATTTAAATTGAACAGCCCAACACCAAGAAATTTGAGGCTTAAAACTGGATTGCCAATGGCAAAGACGCTTATCAATTGTCCCACAATCGTAACGAAATAGATTGAAGCTACGGTAGTCAGGACATGAGCTAATTTTCAACAAAATTTCAAACATTTTCAGAGATCGCCGTCTTGAAATCGAAGAAGAGGAGGAAATCGCGAAAAATCAATCAAATCTGACGAATCGTCTCCTCACACCGACTTTCTCAAAAGGATATGACTATGATTTACGGGTTCGTGATTCGATTTTAATATAATTTCTCGAATTTTCAGTACTCTGTTCCATAAACGAGCATTGCTTTGAGTTGGGATAAGATTTTTAAATATTTTAAATGATAAAATAAATATTTTCTACTCATTGTCAGTATTTATTCTTTTTTTTGGATTGTTTCTTTTTCAAAACCTCAAATCCACTTAAAAATAACTTTTTCTGAATTCGCCATTGAATCGAAACGAATTCTGAATGCATCTTCGGGATTAAATCGTAGGTTCGTTTTTGTGAGCTAAATTTGATCATCGTCGTCCCGTTTTTTTCTTGCGCATCCTGGAAATGGAATGGAAAAGATATTCAGTAGATATATTTTCCTTTTCAAATGAATTCTTCTGCGCGTAAAAGCAAGAAAAATTGTTTCCCGATTTGGTTGTGGAAGCCGAAAAGATACGAATATGAATCGCCGGTCAGCAAGATGGACTATCCGTGCTGTTGCTCGTGTATATCGGCATATGTGAGTTTTAAGGGAATTTATCTATTGTTCCAACCGGACTTTTGTAAGCTTTAAGGCCAGATAATGCAAGAATAGATACCGTAAAAGACTGTGATAGTACCCGAGCCTTCTCGTACAATCGCGTAGTTTAGTATTTCGTTCTTTTTCAAAGCGTCCGTACTTTAAAAAAAATGCGCCTTTGGTATCAAAAAATAGCCCTGAATTTTAGCTATTTTTTGATACCTACCGTAAATACTCTAATAGAACGACACTCCCCATAATGACGGGCGTACAGTCGGGTAGTCGAACTTTGAACGTCCTGTTCTCCACGCTGTTTTATGTTACAGAATAGGCTTGGATGTCAAACGAGTATGAATATGAATATGAATATAAATGAACCTACCGTAAATACTCTAATCGAACGACACCTCCGTAATGACGGGCGTACAGTCGGGTAGTCGAACTTTGAACGTCCTGTTCTCTACGCTGTTTTATGTTACAGAATGCGCTTTGGTGCCAAATGATAGCCCTTAAAATCTAGTATTTTTTGTTACTAAAAGTGTAGTTCGGAAAAATCTAGGGGCTGAGAAAAAAATTATTTTCTAGAAAGAAGTTAGACTACGTGACTGAACGAGGGGCTGCCGTTCAATTATAGTATTTACAGTAAGCGTGTATTGCCGCATAAACCATAAAAACGCGTTCAAAGTTAGACTACGCAATACTCCGGGCGGTCATTATGGGAATGCGGTACTATTATAGTATTTACGGTAGGTGATCAACAGCTAAATTATCATTTTCAGTTATTTTAAACTATCTTCAATGAATCGTTTTTTTCAGATGGCTTTTGGCATCTATCACTATTTTCAATTGATCCTCTTATTCTTGAAAATCGCCGGTGCTCTCACCACCAACAAAAAGGAACCCATCTTGAGCATTATCGTTGTGAGTTTCATAGCAAAAGTTTAGCCTAACCAACTGTTTAATTGTTTATTTCATATGAAAACCTTTTCATTTTCAGCTTTCATATCTCGTTTACGATGTCTTCGTGACACTGATTGCCATCTCTGCTTTTCACTCACTCAAACCATTCTTCATTCAACTCTATCTCATCTTGGGGGTAAATTTTCGAAGATAGAAAATGATTTTCAAAGTTAACACGAAAATTCTATGTACACTCTAGGTACCTACAATATTTTTGGGTCTCGTTTTGATTGGTTATCTCTCATTCCACACGCATGGTGTTGATTGTGAGTTGTTTGCTTTTTAAAGAAGCTTGTAGAACATTTGAAACAATCTAAAGGCTTTTAAATGGCTTTTAAAGGCTTTTAATTTACAACTGTGAATTCATTCAATTCAAATTTCATTTCAGTCACCCTCACCGGTTACATTATCCGAGCAGTGGCCTTTGTTTTGGTTGTTTTTCATATGATCTTCAATTGCTATGGATATTTGAGGTAAATGGAAATGTTTTTAATAAGATTATTTTTAAACTTAAAAAGAATTTGGGTCAAATTGAACAAAGCTATAGAGTGACAATAGTTGCAGGTTGCATTCATTAAAACAAAATGCATAGAAGTGTGCAAAAAATGTACCCAGTTAGTTCCAGGTTTCAGATTTCAGCTTCTCAGCCTTGATTTTGTCACTTTTCTAGAGATCGTCAACTCGAGATCGAGTACCAAGCCGAACAAGGGATCATCCTCGATGTTGTCAACGTCAAACGAAACTCCCGAAATCGAAAGTAGCAAAGGAAATAAAGCTTTTGAGAACTAAAAGAAGAAACAAATAACTTAAAACTGAAAAAGATTGATTAATCTCTCATGATTGACAGCATCGAATGGGCGCTCTATTTCCGTTTTTCTCCTGATCAATTCCCGTTCATTTTTCTCGGTTCCAACTCTTTCTTAAACAAAAAAACAAATTGATTTTATTTTCAACTCAGTTTTCACAAATACAAGAGATTTATTACTTTATAAAATAGAAAAATACACAAAAAACTTGATGGGAAATTTTTGTGGCCTCTAATTAGAACAAATTTTCAGCGAAGCGATCAATTTTCTTACTTTTGAAACTTTTCAATGTTTTCCGAAAACACATTGTGTTCATTTCAGTTCCGTGAAAAAAAGAAAATTCTCGGAAAAGAACGTTGCGTTTAATTGAATTTAGGGAAAGAAAGAAGCAAAACTCTCAAAAAAGGTCAATAATAGCTTTTTCAAACTTATTTACTTATTGAACTTATGATTTTTTTTAAATTTCTTAAGTTTAAAGCTTTCATTGTTCAACTTTAATTAAAGTTTGTGAAGAAGAAAAGGCCAAAGAGGGCAATTCTCAGAAAAAACCGAAGCAAAAAAGCAAAAGAGAGGCGCTTTTTTAGCTAAACGAAAACCTTTTCCCTCTCGAAATTTCCACATTCTCTAACTTTCCCTTTCCTTCTCGTACCTCTATTTATCCCCAATTTTTTCCTTTTCCCATTACTCTCCTTTTTCCTTTGCTCACTTGTTTACGTCAATCTCCTCAAGCTGGGGCTATTTCAGCGGATGCTATTCTCGATGAGTCATTTTGCGAATTTTTTTCTTGTTTGTGTTCATTCACATTTTTAGCGTTTGCGTAAAGAAATGTTTTCTTTGAGTAGAATTATCAATGACTGTTTCAAGAAGGCGTCTTTTATTCTACAAGCGTAAATCTTGCTGTTTACTCATTTCTTGATAACTTTTATCGCAAATTCACAAGATTGACAAAATTCTATAGAACTAATTATCGATTGTCAGCGATAAATTTAATAAATAAACATATTCAATCATTTTAATGCCTTGTTGACTTTTAAGGATGAATTTTAAGAACTTTACTTTATAGTTTTTACTTCAAATTCGAAGGAAATACATAAAAATTGTCGAAAATTTTATTTATGGTTTTCCGTTGATAAAACATAAAATTTTCTTTGAAAAGCTACAATTTTTACACGATTTTCACTGTACAAGTGTATTTCTAGAATGCCGTCTTCTCGCGTTTGGCTTTGGCATCCCAACAAGCCAGCCCCATCAACCAGTGTTCAAGAGAAAAATTATCGATGTTGCTGTTATCTTTTCCCATCACCGGTAAGCAGATCTTGGGTGTTTTTAATAAATTACATTATAAAAAAAACTAATCTTGTGACTAAAGATGTACAGGCTGCCAAATTGATGTTTATTGTGGAAAATTAAAACCAGAAAATGATTTTCAGAGCGGTTTCCCCATCTACAGCATAAAGTACATTCAAAAAACTAATCTTTTAGCTAAATTACTGTTAAACCTTGTGGTAAAACAATTAAATTTAGTGTGGTAAAACAATTAAAACAATATTCAGAGCGGTTTCCCCATCTACAGCATAAAGTACATTCAAAAAAATAATCTTTTAGCTAAATTACTGTTAAACATTAAATTATTGTGATAAAACAATTAAAACAATAAATTAAAACAATATTCAGAGTGGTTTCCCCATCTACAATTATATCCTTTTGGCGATCGAGTTGGGCGCACTGTCTCTATCGTTGCTAACGACGATCACCCCAAAAGCGGCTCCAATTCCACCACAAACGGTGAATCTATTGCAATATCAAAGAGAGTACTAGGAAACTATTAAAAATTGGGAAAAATTAGAGAATAAGCTAAATAAAAAACCAAAGCAAATCAACAATTCAGTGGTTCAACATGATCATATGGGCGTCGATGACAGTGATCGGGATTGTCGCCTCGAGAACCCTTCGCCCATTCTACATGCAAATTTATTTAATACTGACGGTTAGTTTATAATGCTGTTACTGACAAACTAATACTGTTAAAATCAAATTTAATAAACTAAAGAAATGAACGGCAAAGAAGTTGAAAGCGAGGGGGAATTGAACCCTCGACCTTCTGCTTACAGATGCTCTACCACTGAGCTATTGCGGCTACTTTGCCCAAAAAGAAATAGGAAAGACAAAGAAGCAAGAAAGGAAGAAAGAGAACTTATTACAGATAACTTTCAGACAATCCTCTTCGTACTCGGCTTTTTTGGTGCCGGGCTTCTTCTCATTGTCAGTTTGATAATTATCAGGTGAGCTATCACTTATGGTTGATTTATAAAGCTTTTTGAATGATAAGCATTGAAATAAAGCTTGAATCTATCAATTCTAGTGTTCCAAAGGATCAGTACACTCGGGAGTTTGAGCGCGCGATCACGAGCGGTTTCGCGAATGATCAACACGAGTTAGTGGGTGGGTAGACAAGTCCATAAATGTTTTAAATTTAAAATTTTCATATTCCTAAAATCTTCTTTATTTACTCAAGAGAAACCATGTTCATTCCATCATTTTCAGGCACAATCTTCATGTTAATCGTTTGCATGTTGGTCGTCGTTTGGCAGGCTCAACTCACCTACTCGTTTTACTTCTATGTGCGGTGAGTTGATTGATTTCATTGGTCGAGAATGACTACCTAATTCGATTTGTTCCTTACAACCAATGTTTAAGCAAACATATAAGAATACCGTGAGATAAAACCCCACTTGCTAAAGATGAATCGCAAAGAAAATACGTTGATCTGTGTCATTAACAAGTTTGTCTAACAATAATTTTAAAAATGTAATCTTTAGTGATCGGCAACTCGAGATCGAGGCTAGACAAGGGGAAAATCAACAAAATAGAGTGCTCGTCGCACAACGCATCGCAATGAAAGATCCGGAAAAACAAGAAATGGTTGGTGAAGAAGAGTTTGTTGGATTTTATAAGTATTAGATTGAGTACTAACGTTTTGTAAGTCTTGCACCCTAAATTTGATTTTTCTAAATGAACGAGTCCCAAACTACTAAATACTCAAACAGTTTCTTTTACTATAAATGTTTATCGTTTACTTTTTGTCATTTTAAAAGAATTTTTAGTATTTTAGAATAATCTGCGAGAACAAAAAGTGGTATTTTTAAAAATATTGAAGAATGAGCACATAAAGAAAAACCGTTAAATGGATTATTGTCGTTTTTTTGGTTGTAAACCTAACTTTTTGTGCGCTATCTTTTTTATTTAATCATCAAAATAGGTTTCATTTGAAGAAACCGTCAAAATCACATCATCATCGTTTTTGAACACTCGGCTTCTTGCTAATGAAAAACCTTCAAAACAAAGTTTTTCAAAAACTTTCAAAAATCATTTGCAAGAGAAATGATTGGGCTATCTAATGAAAAAAAAACCGTATTTCATTTGGTAGCTTGAGACTTATTCAATTAGAAAATGAATTTGGGTGAAAGTACTCAACCTAATATGGAAGGCTATACTTTAAAAATATTCTTTTTAACTCTTTTAACCTGAAACTAAATGTAAGATTGAAATTCTTTTATAGTAAAGCATTGACAATAAGTATTCAAATAGAAAAATTTGATCGCTTGCAGTCAGCAATAGATAAAAATATCTAATTTATCAATTTTAGCTACCCCCACCCCCATACGACACACTTTGAAGCGCTTCTACGGATCTTTACTGAAATGAACCTTTTGTGATATACAAAACTAATCTTTTTTTCTTGTAACTTAACTGCTACCATAAACCTTTAGCCATTTCAGTTGATTTACCCATTGAATTTTGATCTCATTATGCACAATTCTGATCAAACACTGCATAAATTTTATTTCCACCTTTCAATTCCTTCGAAACGAGAACTTTTCACTTCCACATCGATACGAGCAATAAAATATTGGCCAACCTTGATAACAGCAGCGTTTATGAGGAGGGCAAATCATTTGCTTTGGTCCACAACGAATCGCCACTGAGACAATCGAAGAAACCTAGAAGGATAAAGTTTCGATTTTCTGAAGTTGAATGCTTTAAGGTATACCGTATGTTCTCTAATTTTCTCTAATAGTAGTACACCCCGGCAAGCCGAGTTGGTGACTATTTTACAGTTTCCAAGCTTTTACAGAAGCTCAACACTCTAATCCTCCACTAGATCCCATCGTCAGCTATGTTTTCCGACCCCACATCAATAGGTTCTGATAAGCGGTTCTCGAGATTTCGATGAATTTAGGCGACGCTCAGGTTGCACTACTATTAGAGAGAATACGGTAGTCTATGACACTATGATTTTAACAAGAATAATCAAAATCCATAACTGCATGGTTGGGTCGAATCTCAAATCCGATTATATTGTTCATTTTAGGGATCGAATTGACCAAAATTCTTAGATCAAGCAAAAGTCAGACATCGATTACAAAAACACTAATCAAAGTCTCGGGGTTCTTAGGCACTGCATTTTGGACAGACAAACCTCGCCAACGAGAAGTCCACAAGAAAAGAGCAGTCCCAGCAAAATGATTGAGTTCTTCATTTCAAAAAACATTATTTCAAAAGCTCAATTGAACATTTGAGTAATTTTTCTTTTTGTTTGAAGAAATGAAAGGAATGATATCTGATATGGGTCTGGTTTTTTGAAAAGAAGAGGGAATAGGGATTGCATAATGAGCTTTTGAAGGAACAAACAAGGCTTTGAGTTGTGTAGTTTGAAAATGAAGATTGATTTGCCTATAATTAAGATTTTTGTCGTACAATTTTGTAGTTTTAGTCGAAGAGTTTAGGTTTTCTGAAGCTGAATGCTTTAAGGTATAGTCTATGACACGCCTTTAGCAGTAGTTGTAGTGGTTCCATTTGTGTCTCCAGTTGCATTTGAGGATACGGTCGGCATCGTTACATTACTGGTAACAGTTACGTTTGAGGCTGACATTGTTACATTTGTTGGTATTTGTTATTATATTTGTTGGTATTTGTTACACTGCATTGGCAGTTGTGTTCGTTGTCACTGTGGTTGTTGTTTGTGTCACTGTCGTCTCGCCGATCCACGTCGGCGGACACTTTTTCCTCGAAAATACTCAAAGTTAAAACAGATCTTAAAAGCTGATTTCATTTTTTAATACCTGATAAATGATAAGCCGATTTACTTTATTCATATCTACATAAAGAGGGTTTTGGTTTGAAGGGATGTAGCATTAAAAATGTAGCCAAATTTGGGCGTGGGCATTTGGACGCGCCCAAAAACGTCGGCCAAAAAGCGGGAAAGCCCAGTCGCTCACAGTTCCTTCCGTCGACTTTCTTGTTTTCATCTCTTGATTCAAAATTTGGTTTATTAAAAAAAAAATCAATCTCATAGATGAAAATCTGAGCAAAACATTGATCTGATGAAATGGATGATTTTTTTTGCATGGATAGGAAAGCTTGAGAATATCGAAAAAAGCAAGAATAGAGCAACTTTAATAGAATTTTTTTGCTAAGAAAGATTCTGCCAAACCAGGCCAAACCAGGCCAGCCCTGGTAAGGCTAGAAGCTACAGTCATGGACAAAAGTAGGGAAACTTTTGTCCATGACTGTATAAAACCGCACTTTGGCTCAGAGTTTAGCTACTATTTTAATCATTTCACTCACCGAAGATAGTCGTAATAGCATTTGAAAAAGCACATCGACTTGACACTCTGATGAATAGTGTGAATCATGTTGAAAAGAAGACCTGTAAAACCCATTAGATGAAGCTCAATTTGACACCCGCCAAAGATAAGAAGCTAGTCACCGGTCAACGAGATCACCACCTCAATACCGTGCTTGAGGTTGAGCGGATTCCTGAAAGGTTCTTCGGTAGAGGTTTTCTAAAGCCTGACCAAATCTACCGTAGTTCTTTTTATTCTAGGCCTAGAAATCTACCGTATTCTTTTTCAAAAACTTTCTACCGAAAGTAGCATCCATTATATACCATTTGGAAGCTCTAATTCTCAGCATCATCAATACAATAAAGATTTTTTTAGTCAGAGCTAATTTTCGACCCTTACTGGCCTTCGGAATAAGCTCGCCGCAAGCACCCCACGGCGATCTGCCATTTTTCGTCGTTGTTTTGTCTATACGAAGTTGGCTAAAGGTGAAAAATCTTTTCTTTTCGTCGAAATATAGCAAACCTGCAAAAGATGGAAGTCCACATTGAAGTGCAGACATGAAATGTGCGGGTTTTTCACAGGATAATTCCTAAACATGATAGCATTCGAAAAATGCTTTGAGCTTTGGCGTAAGCAATGTTTCTTCTGAAGTACAGACATGAAACAAATGTGCGGGTTTTTCACAGGATACGTGCTAAATATCATAGCATCATCATTTATTCCTGTGTCACATATCGGGTGTGAGACCACACTCCCGAAAGTCTTCCATCGAACCATCCATGTTGAGACTTTCCTAGACTGATTTTGGTTGTCAGATACTATTAGGCTGTCCAGAAAGTCTTTCGGTTTCTTTTCGTACCTCGGTCGAAATTCACCAATTAACCTATTGGTTTATTCTAAATAAAAAGTGTTTATTGTTCAATTTTTCATCTTTATCAATCAAATTAAATTTGGGTTCACTTTAAAGCAAATTCGAGAGTGAAAATGTGTTTTGTGTAAAAATCTATGAAAGCCTCTAAGGGAGGAATTGGCTCATGAATTTCTCCAAAAATTTGGCTATATACCTAGCTTTTTGTGCCCTATCTTTTATTCATTGACACCAAGATAGGTTTCTTTAGCTAACCGGAAATTTCAAATAATAACACGAATTTTAATGAAATGAAACAAAGAATAACGGCAGAAAGGTTTAATCGTTTGACTTTTAGTATTAAGATTTAGTCAACTAACGGTTTAGGCCCCTGTTCTGATTGAAAATCTTTTGCAATTAACAGAAAAACGCGCGAACCTCAAAGTTACGATAAAATCAAGCGTGAGATTTTCTTACAACAGGAAAACCTTGTCGGACAAAGCTCAAATGAACATGACCCTTGAGAGTAACTTGTGAGGAAGATCCAGAGGTAAGGGCCGAAAAATGAGAAAGTCAGAGAAACTATCCATCACTACGCTCGATCAGATAGACTCAAAATGAACAAACGATACTTTACTCTACTGTAGTACTACTATTGTTTCATTTTTCTATTTTTTCTTGCAGTTTTCTTGCAACAGGAAAACCTTGTCGTTTTCTTGCAACAGGAAAACCTTGTCGGACAAAGCTCAAATGAACATGACCCTTGAGAGTAACTTGTGAGGAAGATCCAGAGGTAAGTGCCGAAAAATGAGAAGGTCAGAGAGACAATCCATCACTACGCTCGGTCAGATAGACCCAAAATGAAAAAACGGTACTTTACTCTACTGTAGTATTACTATTGTTTCATTTTTAGCGTTGAGTGCCACGGTCATCCAAATCATTAAATCCAAAACCCCTGACAGCAAAAATAAACACCAGTGAAGATTTTAACGAGCAAACTTATTTGGTGGCCGGAGTTGCTTTCTATACAGTAGAAGCTTGATAATGTGTAACTCAAGGGCCGAGATTTTGTTGCACATTATCGAACCGTCCTTTATTGCAATTTGTTTTGTTTGGGCCGAATTTTATTACATCGCGTAATGAAATTCGCTGTTCGCTTTCACTGTATTATAATTAAGTTTCTAACTGGATTATGGTGAGAAACGGTCTAAACCTTGCCCGAGCCATCGCTAAACACTGTTTTGATGCGCTTCCAAAAGCCATAACATCTAACGCTCCTAACCAATTTCGATAAGTGCCCTTTGACTAATAAAGAAGAATTACGTGCAAGCCTTCAAGCTTCTTCAAGCTTGTTTCAGTTATTGAATAAGGTATTAACGAAAAGGAATGTCAAAAGTCCAATGATCTCAATTAGGCTTTTCTAGTAAGGTCTTCATACTCTACCCTGATGGCTTTGGAGATCAGCTGTGCTGTGGTGTAATGGTTAACACGCTAGCCCAGTAAGCAAAAGGTCTTTTAAGTTTCTTTTCAGTCTTTTGGTTCGTTCCCCCTCCTCTTTAGCCCTCAACCCAAAAGCCCTCGTGGGCCCTCATTTTAAGTTTTTCTGTGAAAAGCATAAAAACAGTAAACGGTTTTTTGATCTGTAAAATAGCAGGCGAACTCGAAAAACTTGAAAAATTTAATCTTTTTACCTGTTGAATCCTAACGGTTTAGGTTCCTGTTCCGATTCGAAAACTTTTGTAATTAACAGAAAAACGCGCGAATCCCAAAGTAACGATAAAATCAAGTTTTTTTTGTTTTTCTTGCCACAGGAAAGATCTGGCGCCAAGATTTAATCTTTTCTGTATATATTGAGACTGCACCAAGAGTAGATGAGACCGAGATCGCTATCTATCCAAGAAAAGTCTTCCTTTTTAGTTGTTGCTCACAAAAAACACTGGACAGCGAGTTTTCTACTATAAAATTTGCAACATTGGCCATTAGTCTCCCTGTGGGGAAGTGGAACATATTCTTTTGCGATGCTTGATTTTTATCAAGGTATTGACATTGGCATTATTGCCATCATTTTATTGGGCATTCCCGCTAATTTCTTCATTATCGGACATCTATTATTCTGGAAAAAGAAATTCAACAAGAAAGAAATTCAAAACCAAGAAAGAAACAAAGAAAACGAGGAAGAAACCGATTATTTTGCGTTAAGTATGGCACTTGCTGACTTCTTCTATTTGTTATTAGAATTGCCTTGGCAAGTTTCTTATCTTCGATTCGATGCTGTTTGGCTACCGTCATTCCTGTGTCCAATACAACTTTTTGTAAGAAACGTTTGTTATTTGACATCAAATCTTTCCTTTTATTCTTTTCTGATATTCCGAACTTCACATCTTCTATGGCGGTGAGTTGACAGGAGTGCCAGGCGCAAGTTATGCATCTTAAGGTTTTTTGACAAAAAGTTGCAAACCTGTAATTTTGGAAAAATTAATTTATTTTTAGCACCGGTCATTGGATAAGAAAAAAGCACATATTTCGAGTGATCCTCTTTAATGTATTCTTTCCAATATTGCATTACTCGGATTATCTCTGGGTTTATCGAGATCAACTAACATCAGGTAAGATCTTGTTTCAGCCAAGTATGCGAGCGAGTAATAAAAGAGTTTCTCCTATAGCTTTCAATTCCCTTTCAGTCTCCACGATCCATTGCTCATTTAACCGATCAGAGATTCAACCATTTGTAATACTCCGTCAATCTGTTTTCAACCTCTCATTGATTCTCTATACATTCACGTCATTGTTCGTTTTGGTCACCTGCATATTGCTACTTTTACAAAGTAAAAGCTTCCGGGTTTTTGGTTAATTGCGGTCTATTTCTTATCGTCAGCCTCAAACCCAAATTTCGGAGACACGCATCGTGTGACGGTCTTGTACATTTTGCAAACTGATAGAAATGAGTATCTCCATGTTCATTTCTTTTTAAATACCTTATACAAATTTATGCATACAAACTATCAACATAATTAATTAGTCAATGATTCGAAATTTTCAGGGCCTTTATCCGCAAATAGCAAGAGATCCCCGGTAAATCGGCGACGAAACGCACGAAACCTCTTTTTATGCTATCTGGCCTTTACTCTAACTATGGGTCTCGTCGAAATTAAACAAATTAGAGAAAGGTGGATGTGAACTGTTTTGATTCTGACATAGATTTTAGCATTAGGGGAAGCAGCGAAGCTGTTTACTTATTGGAATGTTTACGTATATTTGGCTACGCGATTCTCAATCCGCTTGTCTGCGGCATTTATCAAATGTACAAATCGAGGAGAAGGGATTGCAAAGGTTAGTGTGAAGCGATTCAATGATCATAAGATACATTGGCTTCCCCTCAATGTTCAATGCTCAACATTAGCAATGCCTATTTTAGAGAGGACTCATTTGCTCAATTTCAAGGCTTCGACAATTATGATTTTGGATTCGGAAAAAATGGAATTAATTGGAAGGGGTGCTTTTGGAAATGTTTATCGATTTCAAGAGAAAAAGAAGTAGGTTTAGCCGGAGGGAGAGCTGGCATTTTCCAAAACTTGTAAAACAACGAGACATTAGGTGGTACGCTTTGAAAGTGACCACTTTGGAGGAAAATTCCGCCCTTAAATATTATCGACTCGAGGAGGCAATCGGCGAAAGTTTCCGACACAGGAATATTGTGTCGTATTTGCGAGCCCGCAAAGTGCACACGTTTCCCCGAAAGACGTGTGTCATTTTAATGGAATATTGTGAGCATGGGGACCTCATGAAACGTGAGTGCATTCGTTGTTAATTTGGGGTGAAGACTTGGAGCAATTTGTTAGTGAATCTAAAAGTGGACTGGGAGGCACCAAATTCTAGTCGTTATTCTCGTGAGTGCGTTCCGTGGCTTAGACTAGCGCCTAAGAGACTCTACTGTTAAAAGTTACCGTCATTCTTCTAATTGATGATCACTGTCACTGGAGAACTATAATAAGAAAGAAAATATTGCGGAGTTGCCGTGAAAAAATATCAATAGGATAGTATGACTACCCAGTAAATTTCCTTTTTTTGCTCTTCCCAAAGACTGTGGCCGTTTATTAGAACGGTACGTTAAAAAACCGATATAGTAATTTTCACGCCGGCCATCATCTACTCGATGCGAACCGTCGCTTCTTGGGGTGCGCAACTGTTCAGTGCTATTGACTATTTGTTCACGAAGCACAAAATCGTTCACCGGGACATTAAACCTGAAAAGTTTGTTGCAGAAAAAGAGAAAAACAAAGAGAAGCTTTCAGCATTTTTGTCACGGCCGACTTTACGTTGAAGGTCGGCGACTTTGCTTGTGTGAAGCGAGCACCTATTAGCAGAGTTGGATCGTTCGTTGGAACGGAAAATTATCTACCTCCACAATTGGATGAATGCATCAATGGACTAATGGTGAATTTTGATCCCCACGTCATGCGATGGTAGGGCACTTTTCAGGTCTCACACAAAAATGACGTCTATTCGATGGGGCTGGTGCTGTGGGAGGTGATCGAACGGACAAGGTAAGTTTTAACAAATGAAGGGAACCAAAAGACCAGGAAACATGTGGATCCTATGATAAACGATGACTTAAAAGGCTACAAGTTTAAAATTATAAGTTTATTGTTATTGTTTACTATAAATATCATTTTGTATGCTTAGAAAGGAAGAGTCAGAGCTGAGGTTTCGACCAAAACAGACGCACAATTTAGATTTGAGCCGAAAATCGACAATCCTATCAATCCACCGAATTGCACGCCAGCTTTTCGACGGCTTATCTCGTTGTGCACTAATCCCGATCGGAAGTCACGACCCAAAGCGAGCAACATATCCTCACTGTTTCGAGATCTCGAAAAGGTGCGTCATCACATAATTAACAGAAGAAATTTCTTGCATTCAGAGTGACCCCCTTTTGCGGATTTTATCATATGAACCGAGAATCGAAACGGAGCGCAGCTTCCTTATTAGACCAATCGGATTCGATGGGACAAGCGATTTGGTACCAGTTCACGAAGATTTTGTACCAGTTGAATTCGATTGTTCTTTCATACCTACAGTGACTTTTAGTACTACTTTAGAGTCATAAACGTGTAAACATAAATTATTATATGTGTATTTTTTGGGTTCACTCAATGGTTTTTGGTTAAATAATACAGTCGACCCCCGAGAGATTCGTCCGTTCCTTTGTGAGTTACAGTCGAGTCTCAATATAACGAACTGTATTCTCTCTAATAGAAATCCGCTTTTGAAAAAGGGAAAATAGACTCCAATGGGCTTCTATCAGAGAGAATACGGTAGTCTCGATATCAATCATAGAGCAACAATAAAAAAACAACAACAGAAAAAAGTGTGTAATTTTCTAGAGTCTAGAATGCTATTTTTAAGTTGCACCGTGCAATGTCGTGCAAATGATCTGTATAAATTAAAAGAGTGAGAATAATATGCAAGAACACTTTCTGAAATGAACAATTCGGGGGTCGCAAAACAATTTATTATAAAATGCGTTGCGGAGAGGAAAGGATTAGATTACCTAGCTACATCATTTCTACAGCTTATCTCGACTTCACTAGACTCAAGTCTCGATATAACAGAAATTTTTAAAATCAAAAAATAGGGAAAAGGTTGATTTTTTTCTATTGAAACGCCAAAAGTTAACATAACATATTTAAAGCTCAAAATTGGGGTATTTACCCCGATGTAGCATAAATTTGAGCCGATCACTTGAGTTATGTTATTTCGAGACTCGACTGAAGTGCATCTCCAAATTTTGGTTCAGATTAATGCTGATTTTGTGTGAAATCGTTCCCTTAATATCTCCCATATTGCACATCCGCACGAAATAAGGGTGAAAATGCGTTAACCGTTGGATTTTTGATGGCATATGCACTATTTGACGCAGAATTTTATGATGATTCCAAATCTAAAAAGATTTGTGAAATCCGTTTAACAGAAATCTTTAAAATCGAAAATTAGTGAAAAAGTCTATTTTTTTCTATTGAAGCGCCAAAAGTTCTGAAATTGATGACCTGAAAAAGCTCTGAAAAAGGAAAGCTGAAAACGGTGATCTGAGTTCGAGTTCGACTCTGGCGCACGGCAGTTTTTTTTGAAAAAATGTTGCTAGAAGAACGAGTTTTGCGGCTTCTAGGGTAATTTTCAACGCTGACTCCGAAAAACACGATTTCAGCCTAGGTTTTCGTAAAAAAAAAAACAGAAAAATGCACTTTTTGTCTTTTTATTCTAGATGCTACTAGTTTTTTCAAAATTGATCAATTTTCATGTTTTTCCTTTTAAAATATAGATACAACCTTGGTGCATTAGGGTTGTGCTCAAATTGTAGTTATTTGCCGTTATCGCCAAGATCTGGCCTTCCGCGGAAAGGCACTTTTGGCGTTTCAATAGAAAAAAATAGACTTTTTCACTATTTTTCGATTTTCAAAATTTCAAAATTTGCAGCGCGTTGCGTTTTCCTAAAAACTAACCACACTCTAGCTACAAACAAAATTGTTTGCGATTGTCGCAATTCTTTAACGTCTTGAGATATTTCTTTTTATTTTTACATCACTTCATATTCACATTTATCTTTTGGATCGTTTAGATTCTCGATCAGATGTTTAAATCTCCCTTGACGTCTTCTATTGACGAAGCTCCAAACAAATGTCCCCTAGAGTGCCCAGAAAATGGCTTTCATGGAATACATCTTTTAACACAGCAACAAGAAAAGGATTCATCAGCAAAAAATGTGAAATGTGAGTTGACAGTTGACAGCGAGTTTCTAGGAGAACAGTAATGAAAATTATAGGAAAAATTGAGTGGCGTGTAAGTACTCACTGTATCAAAAAAACTTGGTCAACTTTAGTGCGAACTATTTTACTGTTGGGTGCCCTCTTGCCGGGTATCGGCTGTTATTTCTGTGCTGCATGGGCCTATGTCTTCCAGCTGAATACCGTCCGGGACTTTGCTATGAATACCTGTGCACGGTTTGTTTGTTTGATGTTTGTAGTAAAAAGAAAACCCTATAGATGAGCTAGGTAAAAGGGCTTCTCTTTGAATTCCTTCTCTATTTTTAGTTGGCTTCCCCCAGTATCCTATATTGGTCATTGGGAACCACAGAAATACATGTGGATGTTCGTCGTTACCATTCACTTTCCAGCCAAACTTCTCTTAATTGTGGTATGCAAGAACCGTTTTCGATCCATGTGCTCGTATTTAGTTGTATCGACGGTTGTTTCTTGATGATTCTCGTCAATCGTATCAGCGTCTTGCTAAATGTTATTTGGTGACACTTTGGATGGAACCGATCGGGTTGATTTCTGTCTCCATTCTCGATTTGACGCTGGTTGGTGAGTGCTTACTGAAACTAGCAACTTTCAACAAATTTTTTGTGGTTTCAAGAAATTTGTTGACATTTAGAACCACTTTTCCCATAAACGGTAGGCTCACAATCGTTTCTTCTAGTATTCTCTCCTTCTAGTATTCTAGTATTCTAGTTACTTTTCCAAAAACAATTACCCCCTCCGATATGACCGTAACAAAACATTTCTTGGCTATTTTGAATTAGATGCTCACACTGAAAATGAAAAGTTTCCTTTTCATTTCTTTTTAGAGTGGCACGCCCTAGCATCGGCTCTTTGGGTGATTTCATTCAACCTCAACATGCTCTTCAACGTTATCCTGCATCGTTTTAGCCAAACGCGGTTCAAGAATAAAATAGTAGGAAAATTAATCTAAAAAAATTTGGTTTCTCAGCATGAGATCACTTGGTGCATCAAATCACTCCTCCTCCTGACTGGGTTTGCTCTTTCTTTCTTCATGACTGTCGCTTGGGTTCTCGCAATGAACAGTTGCAATACGTTTGGTATCCAAATACATTGAGACAGCATTAATCGAGTCTAAAATATTCAGTGTATTATGCTTTCTCAATAACCGAGTATCTGCTCATCGGTTGCAATTCTGCCTTCTATTCCGTGGTTTATTGGGAGTTCTCTGAAGTAAAGGTGAGCGCAGGAGTTGTTTATATAGATTAGCTGACCAGAAATCCTGTATGTTCTAGCAATAGTGGTGGGATATTTTGCAAAAATGATTGATTGGTTAAGATCTCTCATTTGTTTTCCTTCTTTTCTATCAGAAAATATTTTAGGTATCGATCGGTCTGAAGCAGCTGCACGATGGAAAAGATGTGGTAGAGACAGTTCACGAAATGAAAAACTTTCGGGAAATTTGATAAACGAATTGGAATTCCACTTTTGTAGCGGGCTGACCGGAAGCTGTCTCACGTTTATCCATTTCGATATTAGATCATGTTCATTCACTTGTCACAACCGAGTCTCGATATCACATAACACATGGCCGGTCCCAACAGGCCACTTTAGGGTAAAATGAGGCTCGATATAAATGAGTCTCTGAAAACATTGAAAAATACAAAATTTTTTGGTGTCACTTTACGTTCACAGCTCTTTTCACACACAAAGTCCCCTTGAACTTGACAGCTTTCATAGATTTCAATTTCAGGGCGGTTCAGGTTCCCTTTTTATTCAAGTTTTACTGAAAAAACGTTGTTTTTATGGAAAAAGTGAACGTGTGCCAACTTTGGGAGTGAGTATCTCGGCGTAGACAAAAGTAAACAAAAAAAGGTTTAATTACCTTGTGCTCCTGGTCATCCTCTATCGTCTGATGTACAAATCATGACGATATCACAATGCGCTCAAAAGTTATAACAGTTCGAATGGAAAAAAGGCGTTTGACAACTTTCTGCGCACTAAATCGTAGGTAAACTACAGTAAACCGAGATTTCAGAGTTGAGCTAGGTGGCTGTAAAATAGCTGTAAAATTGGTATTATAGGGAAAAAATTGGGCTGATACCGAATCTGCAACCAGATTTTCACATTTATTTTGCTCTGCAAAGTTATATACTTTCTCTGCAAAGTTATATAGGCAAGATCACGAGGGTGACGTGGAGATGGGAAATGAGACCTAGATCATTGGATGCAGAATTTTTCGCTGATTCCGACACTGTATTTAGTTTTTGCAAACTGACACGGAATCACGAGGAATCTGGCAAAAACGTTTGGCGTATATTAATAAGGGCTTTCTTAAGAAAGAAGGCAGCTCCATCTCTACATCAATGGAATGAGCTGCAAAGCCGCGGGACGTAACAGAAAAAACAAGAAAAAACGATGAAAAACAAAATGTGTCGCATTGTTTATTTAAAATGGGCCATAAAACCTGATTCTGATGCTGAAATAATCTGTCGGTTTGTCAAAACACGCACAAGGTACTTAAAAATGTTTAAAAAAATAACAAAAGTTACAAGTGATGAGAAGTATAACAACATTGGGGTTAAAAAACCTAATCGCAGTCTCTTTCAATTTGGCGCTATTTTTGTAGGGGCGCTGTTTTGAATGGCGCTGTTTTGAACGGCGCTGTTTTGGCGGCGCTATTTTGACTAGGTCCCCACATTTCATGTTTTTCCTTTTAAAATATAGATACAACCCGGGTGCATTAGGGTTGTGCTCAAATTGTAGTTATTTGCTGTTATCGCCAAGATCTGGCCTTCCGCCGAAGGGCACTTTTGGCGCTTCAATAGAAAAAAATAGACTTTTTCACTAATTTTCGATTTTAAAAATCTCTCTTAAACGGATTTCAAAAATCCTTTTTAGATTTGAAATCAGCATAAAATTCCGAGTCAAATAGTGCATATGCCATCAAAAAGCCAACGGTTAACGCAAATTCACCCTTATTTCGTGCGGATGTGCAATATGGGAGCGACTAAGGGAACGATTTCACAAAAAAAGCATTAATCTGAACCAAAATTAGAGATGCACTACAGTCGAGTCTCGAAATAACATAACTCAAGTGATCGGCTCAAATTTATGCTACATCGGGGTAAATACACCAATTTTGAGCTTTAAATATGTTGTATCGAGTCATTTTGCATTAAATAATGAATTTATAAGCATATAGATAAGCTGTAGAAATGATGTAGCTAGGTAATCTAATCCTTTCCTCTCCGCAACGCATTTTATAATAAATTGTTTTGCGACCTCCGAATTGTTCATTTCAGAAACGTTTAAAGTGTTCTTGCATATTATTAGGGTGGTTCAAAAGAAACTGCCGATTTGACGGTAAATTAAAGAAAAAGATGGCGTTCGATGGTGACATGATCACAATGGAATATTTTCGCAAGATTTCGAGCAGATTGGCATGGATCGGCCTGAATAACGCCCCTCAGCTTGGCTTCGTTCACGACTTCTGGCCTCGAGCCGTGCTCGTAATCTTCCAAAGTTCCTCTCGAAATTGTTGAAACCAAGTCTGACACCGCCTGATAGACAAAAGAGACACCGCCTGAGAGACAAACTGCCATCGCCGAAAGCAGCACAGAGAGAACGATGCGATTCGGCAGCAGACTTTCCAACTTTGAAGTTAAACAGTAGCACAAAATTTTGCTCGACCATGATCTAAATCAAAAATATAAGCATTTTTAAATAAAATAAACAACAACCAAAAAATTCAAATGTCGAAATAAATAGCAAACAAATATGCGAAAAAAACATAAAAAAAATCATGCCGTTAGCATCGCTCGTTTCTGATAAATGAGAGCTGATACTCATCGGCAGTTTCTTTTGCACCACCCTAATATTCTCACTCTTTTAATTTATACAGATCATTTACACGACATTGCACGGTGAAACTTAAAAATAGCATTCTAGACTCTAGAAAATTACACACTTTTTTCTGTTGTTGTTTTTTTTATTGTTGCTCTCTGATTGATATCGAGACTACCGTCTTCTCTCTGATAGAAGCCCATTGGGGTTTCCCTTTTCCAAAAGCGGATTTCTTTTAGCAAGAACACAGTACGTTACATTGAGACTCTACTGTAACTCACAAAGAAACGGACATATCTCTCGGGGGTCGACTGTATTATTTAATCAAAAACCATTAAATGAACCCAAAAAATACACATATAATAATTTATGTTTACACGTTCATGACTCTAAAGTCAGTCAACTCAAAGTCACTGTAGGTACCGAAAAGCCATCGGATTGAACTGGTACAAAATCTTGGTCAACTGATACAACTGGTACAAAATCGCTTTTCCCATCGAATCCGATTGGTCTAATAAGAGAGCTGCGCTCCGTGTCGATTCTCGGTTCATATGATAAAATCCGCAAAAGGGGGTCACTCTGAATGCAAGAAATTTCTTCTGTTAATTATGTGATGACGCACCTTTTCGAGATCTCGAAACAGTGAGACTATCTTGCTCGCTTTGGGTCGTGCTTTCCGATCGGGATTAGTGCACAGCGAGATAAGCCGTCGAAAAGCTGGCGTGCAATTCGGTGGATTGATAGGATTGTCGATTTTCCGTTCAAATCTAAATTGTGCGTCTGTTTAGGCGAGTGCGCGAACGAAATACCATAAAATTTAAAATCTTTTAAACTTTTCCAGGTAGGCTAAGTTTTGCTCGAAACCACAGCTCTGACTCTTCCTTTCTAAGCATACAAAATGACATTTATAGTAAACAATAAGAATAAAATTATGAGGTTGGCAAGTTATAAACGATCGTTTTTGGGTAATGTGTTTTCTGAAAAAACGGCTTATCCAATCGAAAAACGGTTTGCTTGATTGAAAAGCCCTATGCTTAATCTACAAAATGGCTTTTTTTGAATTTTTGAAAAATGTTTGATTTTCGAACTTTTTCAGGCATTTTAATATAAGAGTTCAAAATCCCGGTTTCTAGAATTCATGAGCTAGCATGGAAACTTTGGAAATTTTGGGAAACTATGTAATCGATGAAGCGTTTTATTTCAAAAAGTATGCAATCACTCAAAAATGTATTAGCTCATGAATGCTAGAAACCAGGATTTTGAACTCTTATATTAAAATGCCTGAAAAAGTTCGAAAATTAAACATTTTTCAAAAATTCAAAAAAAGCCATTTTGTAGATTAAGCATAGGGCTTTTCAATCAAGCAAACCGTTTTTCGATTGGATAAGCCGTTTTTTCAGAAAACCCATTACCCAAAAACGATCGTTTATAACTTGCCAACCTAATCTAATTGTAAACTTGTAGCCTTTTAGGTCATCGTTTATCATAGGATCCACATGTTTCCTGGTCTTTTGGTTCCCTTCATTTGTTAAAACTTACCTTGTCCGTTCGATCACCTCCCACAGCACCAGCCCCATCGAATAGACGTCATTTTTGTGTGAGACCTGAAACGTGCCCTATCATCGCATGACGTGGGGATCAAAATTCACCATTAGTCCATTGATGCGTTCATCCAATTGTGGAGGTATATAATTTTCCGTTCCAATGGACGATCCAACTCTGCTAATAGGTGCTCGCTTCACACAACCAAAGTCGCCGACCTTCAACGTAAAGTCGGCTGTGACAAAAATGCTGAAAGCTTCTCTTTGCTTTTCTCTTTTTCTGTAACAAACTTTCCAGATTTAATGTCCCGGTGAACGATTTTGTGCTTCGTGAACAAATAGTCAATAGCACTGAACAGTTGCGCACCCCAAGAAGCGACGGTTCGCATCGAGTAGATGATGGCCGGTTTGAGAATTACTATATCGGTTTTTTAACGTACCGTAGTCCTTCTAATAAACGGCCACAACTTTGGGAAGAGCAAAAAAAAGAAATTTACTGGGTAGTCACACTATCCTATTGATATTTTTTAATGGCAACTCCGCAATGTTTTCCTTCTTATTATAGTTCTCCAGTGACAGTGATCGTCAATTAGAAGAACGACGGTAACTTTTAACAGTAGAATATCTTAAGCGCTAGTCTAAGCCACGGAACACACTCACGAGAATAACGACTAGAATTTGGTGCGTCCCAGTCCACTTTAAGATTCACTAACAAATTGCTCCAAGTCTTCACTCCAAATTAACAACAAATGAACTCACGTTTCATGAGGTCCCCATGCTCACAATATTCCATTAAAATGACACACGTCTTTTGGGGAAACGTGTGCACTTCGCGGGCTCGCAAAGACGACACAATATTCCTGTGTCGGAAACTTTGGCCGATTGCCTCCTCGAGTCGATAATATTTAAGGGCGGAATTTGCCGTCAAAGTGGTCACTTTCAAAGCGTACCACCTAATGTCTCGTTGTTTTACAAGTTTGTTGTGAGTTTTGGAAAATGCCAGCTCTCCCTCCGGCTAAACCTACTTCTTTTTCTCTTGAAATCGATAAACCTTTCCAAAAGCACCCTCTCCAATT